TCGCTGAAAAATCCTGCGCGCAAAGCACATCTTTATGGTAATTTAATTTCTACATAGTGAGAGAGAGTCTTTGGAAGTCTCATCGTCACACGAGATAATCAATTAACACCTCAAAGACGCACAAAATGATGTTTTGCATTTCAAATTTTATACTCACCGCCAGCACAACAATGTTTCCCACACGATACAGTTAAAGGGCTCGAAAACATCCCCAATTGACTCTATATTGGCAAATTCCACCCAGAAGAGGAGCGCAATGTGGACTGTGATGGATTTTCTGCAATGTGTGCTCATATAATTTGAATTCGGGGAACTGCCAGAGAGTTCTGTTCCAGTTCCAAAACCGCACTGGCCAAAGACCGCAAGGAATGTCCGAAGATGTGTCTCTCCCGAGAGCATTTTCACACGCTTCCACATCGAAAATCTGCACTGTAAATTGCGGCAAATGCTGGCCATGTTGGGTCGATGGGCAAAAATTGCGGAATGTGATCAAATCCGCGGATCGCTTCTTGTGGGCGCGCACACAGACTCGCCAGCCTTTGGCGCTTGTGTACCAAGCGAAAACGTGTGCACAATAATAAAAAGCTAAATGGTCAGAGAGGGAGAGCGAGAGAGAGACAGAGGGAATGGAGCGATTAAAGACGAAGAGGCGAGTGAAACAATAAATAAAAGCGTGTTGAATTCAAATTGCAATGGGCATTTGGGGCCGCGCGCCGAGCTGATGACGGCGGCCCGGCCGAGGGTAGATTGGGATGATGATAGGCGCAGGAATTCTGTTGGCCGCTGAATTTTTGATCAATGTCTCAGATTGAAATGGAGACGATCTTATCGCGAGCGCCCAGCAAGATTCCCCAGATGATTGTCAATAAAAAATTATAAAATGCCTCTTTTATTACGGCCTCAGCGAAGTGGAGGAATATCGTGAATGGGCGCAGGTATCTTCACTCCAAACCCGCGTGGATGAATGAAGAGAGACGATCTTCGATCTGGCGATGCAACTCTGATGATTGCGGCAATTGGCAAACTGTACGGCCAAACTGTTCTGCGGTATGATGAGAGTTTTATCTTAGGCTGCAGAAAATTGTGTGTGCTATTTTTGCGAAAATAATATTTATTTTCAAGAAGCCAAGAGAGATTTATTTATTTTCACTTGTTCGCCAGCAATTATTTTCAGACACATGACTTGTCGACTGGAAAGAAATTGAGAGCGATCTTCGCAAAGCACATTCCGGTAAGTGGAGAAGTGAGACTCTCTTCTTCTTCTCCTTCCACGCAGAGGCGCAAAAAATTGCGCCAAGAGGCTCAATTTTGTGTTAACAGTTAAAACATATTTTCGAGGGGTGCTTCTCTTGCACACAAAGGCGCAGCGAGAAGGAAACAGGAAGGCTCAGAGAGAGAACTCTGCCTTAATTCCGCTCTGTGTGTGTCTTTCATTGCCCGCCATGTGCCGCCGCAAACACTTTAAATGCCCACATTTTCTCGGGCCAAAACACAAGGCGTCGAGGGCCTGAATTATTCAAGAGGCTCTTTCACATACATCCAGAAGGGCGTCAATCGACTCCTTGCCACTCAATTTCCGCATGAAATTCAATGCAATTTGTCACTCATTTGATTCTTTATTAGGGCTTTCACTGTGGGATTTTCCTCTTCAATGGACCTCCTCGAGATGATCCTTAAACACCCTGCCTTAGCCATTCACATGCAGCGCGATCTCCTGCTTCTGTTCCCATGACAGGAAGGAGAAAAAAGGGAAACGCAAGAGCAGGAGATTTGATGGGATATGAAATACAATTACAAATCTACTAAATTGAACTCAGAGGGAAGCCAAGGAGGAGATATTATGGTCAGTAGTCAGAATATTTGGATTCAGGCTTCAAACGTTCATCTTGAAAACATTTTCTAGGTTATACGATTAGTTTAACACTAGAAAGCACTAGAAATAAATTCCTTTCGAAGGATCTGGCCAACTTGGCCAATTCGTAAAGATTTTAGATACAATTTCCACGCTTTTAAAGCGCATTTTGCTCCTCAAATTTGGTTTTCCTGTCTTTGTATATCTCGAAGACTGTTTGACAGAGAAGTTTGAGATTCAAATTTGGTCACGAAATGCTTTCTAGTATTGATACAAATTTGGTGATCAAATTACAATTCTAATTTGTTCTTTCTAGAATCTAGACCAAGTCTAAGAAATGCTGCAAGAGCTCTCTAAACTGTTGAATATTCTGTGTTGCATATCTAGAACTTATAGGAAGCGGCGTGCGAAGCATAATGTCCCGATAATGCGAGCTGTGCAAGAAGTTGTCGGTGTTGAGAAACGGTATAGACCTAATGATTTGCCAAATGACTCATAAAAATCCAGCAAGAGAGGCTCCACTTCAGGCGTTCGGCGTGGTGTTTCTGAGAATTGGGCACGATCGAGTGATTCCTTCGGCAACAATTGGCCGAGGAACTTGTCGCTGAGGGAGAAAAAAAAATGCAGAAATGGCCTTTGTCCGGCAGTCAATGGCGCTATCCTTCATATTCATCGGGGGAATGTCTTCAGCATTGTATTCAGCAGCACTGCGTCTTTCACACATATATATCGAGTTGGTGGCCCTCTTTTGCGCACTCTCGTGCATCCATGTGTGTTTATCATTTCCTTCATTGTGTTCCCTTCTTCCAGAGATGCACAAGAAACGTGTGAGAAAGTATCAATCGCGCCCGAGAACTCCGAAGGCTGGAGCGCCTGGGTTCTTGCCGATGCCTTCTTCTTCTCTCCCATCTTCCACATCGCATCGCCTCCTCTCGCCCACCGCCTCACCGGCGCGTCTATATGGCACACAAATGTGTGGAGAGGATTCCAATGGGCCCAGGTAATGCCCAGCAGAGCGGACAAAACGATGGCCGAGAGAAAAGAGAGGCTGAGTCGCATTCCAGACGTCGTACCTTTCCTTTTGTAAATAAAAAGGAACCGCTGTGCGCCGATACATAAGGCCATATTATATAAATTACTTGATTTTGATATCTTTGATCTCATTTTTTACAGTCGTGCATATTCCTCTCTTCGCCGTCCAAAATGAACACAGCGCGCGCTGAGGACAACACACAATTTCTTTTATTATTATTATTCTATCCCGCTCGCCTCCTCACCAAGTGGTCCAGCTCTGCCCAACCACCCCAAGACGCCCTCGCGACGCGCCATGCGTCACGCCTAGGCGAGGTGGATTCCACTGACTTTACAATGCCCGGAATGCGCGGGCCAATAATTTGTGGCAATAAACATCTCTTCGTGGGAAATACGACGCTATAAATGGTGCCATAAATGGAGGTGACGAGCATGAAATTAGGGTGTTTTATGTGGAAGTTCTGTTGACAATTAATACCATCGTAAATTCATTAATAAATTTGAATCAATGAAAAATGGCCATTTATTGCCCAATCCAGAACTAAATGTAAGATTTCGCCTGTAAATTGGATGTTTAAAATCCGGAATTTGCTATTTTAAACACCTTTGCGATGCAAATATCAAGATTTCAAGATATAAAAATCCCGATTTAGAAGCTCTTCACAACCATATTATGCCTAAGATCAAAATCATTTCCATCGTTTCCAGGTTTCTGAAGAAAATCCGTAGATTTCTTCTTTAAGAGAAAAAGAAAAATGCGCAAGTGAAGGGCATAATTTGCAGAAGAAGTCCCACCGAATCAACTTCCCCATAAAAGGGCTTCGGCCTGAGCGGCCGAATTTGGCGGACCTGTGCGTTTTCGCACGGTCGCCAAAGAGAAATGCCTCCGAATGCGCGATTTCCCATTGAAATTTCCCGGCTAATTGCCATCCTCTGGAGTGTCTGACGACCGTGGGACTGCTGCCATGTGATCGTGGCTCTCCTGCATTCCAGAATCGCTTCATATACATTGTCTTGCAGCCTCTCTCGCTCGCTCGCTCGTCCTAATTTATCTCCACGCTGCCACGGTATGGTCCATTAGTCATCTCGCCCATTCTTCGATCCCATTCTCACACAGAGAGCTCTCGAGGCACGAACACCATCGCCAGGAAATTCCTTCGCCGGGAGAGCGATTCTCATGGAAATCACCTCGGATTCCGTCAGGTAAGTTATTGCGCAATATTGAACCATTCAAGGGACACACACGAAGAGGACGCAATAAGTGTGGTCTAATGGGGAAAAGATGGGAAATGCGTCAGCCAACTTAATTCCCGGAGACTCATCACATCATCCTAGGGCTCTCACGCCGGGGGCCAAAACATCCTCCCACAGCCATTTTGCAATCCCTGCAAACAATCAATATGTGCACGAGGGTTGAGAAACTCTTGCCGCTTGGCAGCATTTTGAGGGTAGAGTCCTCACTTTTTGTACGTTTGTTGCCACAGCGCCGAGGGGCCGCCAATTAGTCTTTCGGCGCACTTCGCCGAGACTCGCGGCCAAGGAAAATCGTTGGAAAATATCCTTCATTGGAAGATTGAGTTGATGGAAGATTGGTTTTTGCTTGCAATTCCCTTTACATCCCTTATAATTGAATGTTATTTCGCTGTAAAATACATTTCTTGAAGTTATGGGCGCATCAAGCGAAGAAAGCTTGATTCTAACATTGACATACCGTTATTTCTAAGACAATCTTTCCTCAATGATGGCTTTTTTACTCATTTTTAGATCTGCAAACATAGTTTTCGATCCTTGTTCCGTAAGATCATTCGAGATTTCTTGAAATTCTCTTTCAACCGCAAGTTTTTTACCTCTTGATTTCTTCCCTTTTGCTGCGCCGAGGAAGAATTTCACAATAAACGCAATCACAGCTTTATTGCGCCCCGTTCTCACTACTTGTTCACCCCCTTTTTCATGTGCGGAACAAACACAAAGCCGCCTGTCAGCTTTTTCACCATCGCATATTGCCAATGGTTTGTCTTTCTGTCCTCTTTCACCCTCAGCGACACCCTGAGCACCCCTTTTTCTGCGGTGACACCATCACAAAAAAGGCACTCTTTCGCACATTAGCGCAACGTACCTTTGATTGGCTCCTTGGGGATCTCGTTGGGGTTTATCCGGAGCCCCTTGGCCTCGAAGAAGTGCGTCACGGCGGCACAGACGCCCGTGTTGAGAGACGGCGCGGCGCGCGCCGGCAGCGCCAGGCAGAGGAGGAGAATCCAGGACGACGTCCAGAGCGCTGCCCGTGAGATGAACACTATCGCTGCCATTCTGTCGGCATAAAGAGTCTTCCGCGAGTCCGAATCCCCTCAGTCACAAGGCACTTGGCACACAACGATTGATACTCAGCTACCCCCTGATATCGTGGCCCATTGAGGAAAGTCTCTCTCTCTCTCTCGCTCGCTCTCTGCCACCCACTCACACGCAGAACACACACAGCTGCGGCACTTATCGACCCCTCTCGTTCTCTGCTCGGGAATCGCCTTCACGCAAGTTCCTCCTGAGCCGAAAGGTGGTGTGAAAAAAAGAAATGTGTGTACAGAGAAAAAAAGAACCGTCAGCGTTCACGCGCACGTCATCACCCGTCCACAGTTCTCGACCAACTGAGGCCACTTCTCTTATCTCTTTCCCGGACAAGACTCGCTGCCGAGCGGCGCGCTGCTGCGCATGAATGAGCCAGACAGAGACGGCAGACGTAAACAAATCATGCTGCGCACGCCAGTCGTGCACAGATGGCAGTGCAGACGTTCATTAATAAAAATCCACTCCATTCAAGGGGGAAAAAGGGCCGTTCAAAATGTCTCTGAAAGGATCTTTCTCTCGTTATGATTATTGAGATTGTCGGGATAATTTCATAAAACTCCCGCTGAGCTGGAAAACCCCTGTAAAATACTTCTCACTACATTATCTCCCCGTTGCTATTGATTTTCCCTTGTGTTTTCCTGATAAAGAGACTTTTTCTTTCACCTTTGCCAAATCCTGTTTATTCTCACGTCAATTTGTTCTAAAGTCAGAGGCGCTTCTCTCGAATAGCACAGCAGAATCGGAATTACGCGGTGTTCAGGAATGCTGGTCACTTCTACAGTTCGTCCTTCTCTCCTGCCTGCTGCTCTTCGCCCTGTGGCGGCGCCTTGTCCAGGATTTCACCGTGGAGCTCGGCATCCGCCCTGTTCAGCACATTCTTGATCTCCACGTCATACTTCACCCACTCGCCCACAATCCGCTGCGCCGCCGTGAGCTTCGCCTCCTTGGTCTGCGGATTGTTGCAGAGATCAATTACTTTGGCCGTGCGCAGGCCGTCGTCGCTGCACCACGTCTCGCACCACAGCCACTCCTGCGGCAGACTCTTGATGGCCACCTGGTGGATCATGTTGTTCGGCAGATCCTGATCCAGATTGGACAGACTGTTGGGATCCTGGCTCAGCGCCTGATACTGTCCGCGCAGCCGATCGCCGGCCGCAATCTTGCGGAAGCGCTTGAGATCCACCACGTACAGCGCCGAGATGTGATAACGCCTGCCCTGCAGGTGATTGCGCCAGTAGCCCTGTTTCCAGAACCTGAAGCCCTCCATCTCCTTGCGCGAGTCACAGAACGGAGTGTAGGCATACGGCGCGCCGCCGAGATCCATCGTGTGCAGTTCCTTAATGTCCGCCCGGACGATCTGTGCGAATCAAGAGACGTTAGCGTGACTCAAAAAGAGTCTCCAGATTTCCTCACTCACCGCATCGGCGTCCACGAAGATGATCTTCTTGACATCCAGCGGAAACAGGACGTCAAGGAAGAGGATCTTGTATCCCCAAATGATTCTCTGCTTCTCAGTCTGCTGGTGAAGCCATCGCGGCCACTTGTACTGCACCAATTCATACTGAACGTTGTACTCCTTCGCCATGTGCGGCAGAGAGTCAATGAATTGCGGCGAAAGGTAATTCTTCAGGAACCAGAACTTCACCGGAGACTGGAAAGAAGCCAAGAATAAAATCTTTTTCATACTTTAAAAACCCTTCAAACTGCCCACCTTTGTGTGCTTAATCGTCGACACCATCATGATCCTCAGAAGACGCTCGTAGAGATGTCCTGAAGCCACTGAGAAGACATTGATAACTTCAGAATCTTGGGCATCCGAACCGCCGCCAAAGGAACTCGTGATTGAGTCCCAAATGCCCGCCTGAGCCTCTCCATCGTCACCCAGCAGATCCGCCGACTGCTTGTCGGGCTTCTTCGTCACCTTCACCTTCAGCACGTGCGACTTCAGCGAGCTGATGATCACGCGCGTGCTCTCACCGCCGTGAACAGTGTTCGGCCCGTCGGCGCTCGTGACGTCGTAGATATCGGCGCTCTTGCCGTGCCTGAGCCTCAGATTCCAAGCGCCGGGCGTGGCCTTGAGCTGGAAGTAGCCCAGATTCGCCATCACGATCGTGTCCACGATGATCGGCTGCCTGTTCGTGCCCAGCGTGAATTGCAATCCGCGCGGCGGTGCACCAGTCATCGAATCGAAGCAATGTCCCTCGAGCAGAAGATACTCGAGCTCATATTCACTGTGCACAGGTCCATTGATGTCCGCCAGCTTGATGTTGTCCAGATCATAGACGGAATTCACCACTTCCACCAGCCAATTCTCCGGCACTTGCAAGTTCTGCGTCAGCAGAGAATTCACCGGCAACCCTGTGAACTTGGCAATTGGTCCTCTGGTGGATTTCCCATCGGCACTGAACTGAATCTCCGGCTCCACAACGTATCTGTAGAAGTTCTTCACCGGCATGTCGCTGTGCTTGTCCACGGCACACAGATAAACCTTCATATGGCAATTCAGCACCGTCCGGAGGAGGATCAGAATGGGCGCCAGCTTCTGCGCCCCCTTGGAAGCGGGATCAAGCACACCCACGACCTCGAAAAAGGGTCCTTTGGCCACTTTTGGCTCCAAATTCACCACCGTGTGATCATCCTTCAGCTCCGCCGGCATCACATAGCGACTCTTGGTGTGTGTCCGAGGCACGAGAATTGACACAAGTCTCACGATCATGTCACTGGTCAGCACAGTGTCATCGGGCAGAGTGTCTTTCAGCGTCTTCCTAATCTTCTCGCCGTACTGCAACTGACTGAAGCGCTCGAGGAGACCAAAATCTTCCACCGTGAAGATTTCCTTGCTTGCCAGCGGCGCCAGAATCCTTCCATTGATGATCACGCCACTGTCAGACTTCCTCATCTTCAGCACGCGCTGACAATAGACTCTCAGCATCTTCATGTGGAGAGTCGTCGAGGACAGAAGATCATGCAGAGATTTCTGAAATAGAGAAATCACAGTAAAACATCTGCTAGGAAAATTCCACACGCAAACCAAACTCACCGGAATATCTGCCTTCTTCCCATTGAATTCCTCGATCAGATTGCTGACAAAGTTCAGGCCATCCGTGGCGGAGAGAGTGTGACTCGCTGCCCACACGAGATTGTTAAGATTCTCTCTCGCTGGCTTCGCGGATCCTTCAGTGTTGGGCACAAAAGTCAACCTGACACTCTTGGTGTTCTTCACAAACTCCACAGCATTGCGGAAGAGCTGCAGACCATCGTCAGTCATGAGATCCGCCACAACCATAAGTGTGACGAAGTGCACTTGATTGTCCTGGAGTTTGGTGAAGGAGTTCTTCGGCGCAAAGTACTTCACATTCTCCAGCAGAGTCGCCGTCATGTCACTATTTGACAATTTCGCCATGGCTTTGATGTTCTCGAGATCCTTGTGTGGTTTCCCGCTGACGTCCAGGAACTGCACGTCGTCGGTGGAGAGAATCTTCGCGTTTAGACGCGGCATCACGTGCGGCAATCCCATCAAGTAGTCGACAATGTCATCGCTGTCCGTGAGTTCGCCCTTGTAAACCGCCTTCTGCAGCGTCGGCGTCTGCGACATGATCTCCGTCAGCACGAGCTCCTCGAAGTCATCCACAGTCAGGCTGGCGCTGGGCAGAGGAACGCCATTCATGATGGCACTGGGCGATGCAGTGCTGCCCAATCTCTGCACGAACTCCATCGACAGCTGCCGTCCGTAATCATAGTCAGAATCCTCGTCGATGATGTCCTTGATCTGCTCCGGCGTCAATCCCGAATTCCCTCGTTTCAGCTGCATCTGAATGTCCTCCACAGTCACATCCCGCTCCGCATTGATGGCTGAATAGAGTTCGCTGAGGAAGCTGAGTGCTTCCTTTGCACTCTTCTTCTGCGTGACATAGTTGAAAGCGCGCAGGATCGCATTGTATACCTCTTCCTTTGCTCCCTCAGCCTTCTGGAAGTCCAGAACAACGCCCAGACGCACAGGCGCGGAGTGTTGCACAAAGCTCTCGGCTAGCTTGAGAATTCCACGCGCAGCCGACGTCACGGGATCGACAATCAGCACGAGATTGAACAGATTTTTCCTAATATTCCTCAGCATTCCCGGAAACGTTGGCCTCAACAGCTCCATCACGCTCGAAGACCATCTTCTGTACGACGAATCGTGCTCAATATCGTTGATCCACACAATTGATGAGTCCCTGAAGTCAATGGCGAACTCCTTGGCCGACGATTGCAGATCCAGCGCAATCAGGGACTTCGCAGCCGCTCCTCTCACGCCCACCAAGTGCAGGCCGTCCAGCGAGCGCATCTCACTCTTCAGCGTCTCCAGGAGGTTCTCCATGTCGATGGTCTCGGCGTCGAAGAACAGCCCGTTGATGAACAGAGCCGCGTCCGGCGGCTGTAGGTTCAGATTCCTGCCCAGGACGTCAATGTTGTGCTTCATCTCCTTCTTGAAGCTCTCGTCGACTGTCGTGTGGATCAGCGACTTGGCCTGGACGGGAAAGTTCTGCGCCGTGTACTGAATTATGTGCAGCGCTTCGTCGCTCTGCGTCGAGGCGATCTGATGCGCTGCCTGGAGTCCCAATTCCTGGAATTCCCACGCCTTCAGTGGCGCAATCTCGTGACTCTTCTCCAGCAATCGCAACCTGAAGGACTCCAGCGATTGCGACAGTTCCGGATAGCGCGATTTTAGTATCTGAAAGTCAAATCCATTTACTTCAGTCTCTCCCGTGTCCACTTGTTCAGCCACATTCTCGCCAGGCGCACGCGGCGAATCGTCCTGACTTTTGTACTCCGTGGACTTGAGATGCAGCTCCACTCCGTAGCCAGATAGACGCACCTTCTTCTTTGCCCTACCCTTGACATAGTGCCTGAGAACATACTGAACATCTCCGGCAATTGCGCGATCGCGCAAGAGATCGTGGAACTTCTTCAACTCCCGCGTGCCAATCAGCCCATAAAGAATGACTGTGTTCTCCGTGGTCTCAGATCCAGGATAGATGTGGTCGAATTGGAAGATCTCCAGCGATGAAGATTGGGGAGATTTCATCAGTTTCGTCAGCTCTGCAATTGAGCATGCGATCTTTCCGCCAATCACTGCAAAAGTCGAGGCTTTGCAGTCGCTGTCCTCGAGCACTTCCTGGGCTATTTGCTGGTGCGCTTCCACACGAGGTGAGAGACTGTGCAGGGACAGGGAGAGCTTCAGGAGACTCACTTGAGGAGCGCTCAGGAGCTTCTCCGCCACCTTCAGGCTCTGTTTGTAGCTCTTGGAGTCGTCTGCAAAGCAAGCACAGTTAATAAATCCACCCAAAAACACACTCAAGCTGGTCATCAGTTACCTGATTGCGTTGCCTCCATGTCCAGCTCGTTCACAGCGTCCACAAAGTCCCAGAACAGGTTGGCATTCTCGTCCGCCAGGTATTCAGACACTTCCAGAGCGAACGGCGTGACATTCCACTTGGCGTTGATGAATGTCGTGATGGAATGACTGGTGGAGGCTCTGACCTGGCAAACAGCCACTATTAATAGCCAAACAACTGCGAAAAGACGCATTTTCGCAGCTCTTTTTCCTCTCTCGCGTTATAAAAATATCTCCCTTTGAGGTTATGTCGCCCAACTTGTACGACTTCTATCGCTCGCGCGTCATCTCTGGACAGTTTAGCAGCAAAAAGGGCAGCAGCACCAGCTGAAGATGGAATTTCACGATTCTGGGACACTTCTGACGCTGTACTTTTCGCGATTTTCACCTTTTTTCCAGCGAGGAATGAAAAGATTACACGTATACCGATGACATTTCACTCTTCGCCAAACACACTCACACACGCTCAACTTCATCAGAAGTCTCCGAAAAAGGAGAACTTTCTGTGGAGACATTTTCAAATTTCAATGCAAACGACTTCGGAAGCATCTTAACTTAAGAGAAGATTTTCTGTTCTTCAATTATTACACCTTTTAAAGAAAGAAAAACACTGAAAATATAAAGGAAAATTGCAAAGAAAAGACGTAAATTGTGATTGAGATTTTTATTGCAATTATTATTGGAATAAAATTGTGACATTCTCATCTTTTTAATGTAAGATTTTCTCTTTATTCACGTTTTTTTAGATCTTGTATTTAAGTTTTTTTTTTCTCTTTAATCTCAATATATTCAATAAATGTCTGCACTAAGAATGACTCTTTTTTTTCTCTATTATAAAGAAAGAAATTTATATGCATCTTTCAAATTGTTTCGTAGTATTTGCTTTATGTCAAATCGTATGTTATCGTATAATAATGTTTGCCATCTTAAATACTTGTTTTCTCACTTCCATTGCCACCAATAATTAAGTTGTGAGTAATATATGCCCCTTATATATTTGAGTAAATATGTTTCTTTATGTATAATGATTCTTTTATCTTGTTTGATTAAACGCTTCGCATGAAAACTAAATAATTCATTTTATATATCAATATATTTCGCAGTACAATTTTCACTTTGAGTAGTAAGAATTCTCATTGTTCATTTTTTTCCTTCTTTTTGTTAATTATATAATTCTCGTTTATATTTCTAATGTACAAGATTTGAAATCGATTCATGATCAAAGATGTAAATGTATATTTAATTCAACTCTCCTCACAATTTTCTTAAGTTTAATCATTGTTCATTTTTTTCTTCTTCTTCTTGTCATAAAAATTCTCGCGAAGCTTGGCTTCTTATTACTTTATAATTTAATTCTCTTTAAATATTCAAATTTTTTTCTTTAATTATTGTTTCTAGATTTCCCTTGCTGTCCCTCGCATTGATGTAGCAATTTTTTTTCTTTTATTAATAAGAGCATGGTGTGAATTTAATGTCTCAATTTTATTTTAGCAAAAATTTTATCAATGATTCGACTTAATTTTACATATAATTCTCTTCTTTTGCTTCTCTCGTATTGTTTCGCAATTGCGTGAGTTTGTCGCTGATGAGAGAATAAGTGAGAAAAAGGGACAAACGCGCTCATCAAGACTTTCTCCAATGAAGATGGATGTGACTTGAAAGTTGACGATTACAGAGCTATGTCTGAAAATAATTGGAGAAAAATGTCTTCGTTTAATTGATTGTGTCTTTTCTCTGTCCACCAATGCAATTTCTGATAAAATTCAAGACGGATTTCTTCATCACTCTTCTAATAATAAAAGGAGATTAAACTATGTCAAGATTGTTTAACAGTGAAAAAGTGTGAAAATCAACTGTAAAAACTACCCAAAAAGTCACTCAATTTCATATTATTAATACTTTCTGTATGAAAGGCTCTTTCGTGCTTTTGGCAGGAAGAAAGTTTCTCTCACTTTTACTTTGGGAAAATGTCACTCTCGCTCTAAAAAGTTTAGTTGAAAGAAATATTTACAGCAAGAATAGAAAAATATAGCATATAAATAAAAGTTCAGGACAACAGAAATTTCCTGGTGAATTCAATTGAATTTGAAAAAAAAATTTTAACTACTTCGCTCAGCTTTGACAAACTTCTATCTAAAAAAACGTGTAACAATAAACAATTTTCTGCTATCGAAGAAGGGAGAATCAACAACGGAGACAAAACTATATAAGATAAACTTTCACACACTATCAACGATGAAAAATAGTCATTCTAAAGATTATACAAGATGTGTAAATATAGAATTTTGTCGTCAAATACATAAGAACTATTCAACAAATTTGTCAGAATATACAAGTTGTTCATCAGTAGTATATATAAATGTACAGTAATATATATATTTAATATATGCTCTTTGCTCAGAACACACGATTTAGCATCGTGTCGCCTTTATTGCAGCTGAACCTCAAACGCGTCTCACTCATCATGTAAAGTCGACTAAGCATTTTGTAATATCCTTTAAGGTCAAAGTCAAAACCGATCAGTTATTATCTAAAGTTAGTAAATATATATAATGTATATATAGAAGATTTACTCTTGAGAATTCTTCCTCTGCACTTTCTCCCGCTCCTTTTTCCATCTATCGCTTAGCCATTTCCTTTACAAGGATAATCATGAAAATTTCCAAGTGACAGTCTATCTATGTTTATTCCGCAATCAAAGACTTTCCCTTGGACTTTCTTCTTTTTCTTTTGTAGTATGAAATTATTTTGTTTAATGATATATTACTTGAGTAGATAAATATTATTTGCAATAAATATTTTTTCATCTCTGAAAGAAATATATTTTCAAATTGTCCTCTTATTAATTCTGTTTTTTTTTCTTTATTTATGGACTAAAAGATGCACTTCCGGCATTGCTAATAATACACAGTTTCCTTTTTCTCTTCACTTTAATATCCTTCTTGGCTCTAAAGTTGATTTTATATACTTTTTAATAATTATTCCTTGTGTGGATTTCCTTGCAAAAATTCATTTAAAATGTAATTATATGTTAGTTTCATCTTTTTTACTATAAATAGTGGCGATTGAGTAAATTTCCTCCCTTTTTTGCATGGGCAGGAAGTGGATGTCAAAGAGAATACTGAAAAAACTGCGTCTCCGGCAAACATCCTCGCGAGAAGAGCATTTTTAATATGATAAGAGATGTATTTTAATTAAAAAAGCATCATTTCAACTATTCAATTCGCGCTCTCTTTTTTCTTTGCTTCAGGCTGTAAATTAATATCTCTAGGGATTTTTTTGGATCTTTTATTTAAATGTCCTTTTATAAGATATTTGTTTGTTTCTTTTAATAAATATTCTTCATCATAATTCATGAAATCACAGTCCGTATAAAAATAGCGAAAACGTGCCTTTTGTTGCTTCTACAATTTTTTTTTATTCATCTTTATTTAAAATTCATATGTTTGTTGGTTTGAAATGCTCATGATCATGCTAAAAAATAGGGATTTTCCTTCTTCCTTCTTTCGCCATATCGGAATTGGGTTCACATTCCACCAAAGCAAGAAAAAGGACACAAATGTGCCGGGGGTATGGGAGCGGAAAAAGGGGTGGAGAAGGAGAGAAAAATTGATTCAGTGTTCAATTGAGAGAGCAAAAGCAATGTTAATATTGCAAATTTCCCATCCCCAACTCGTTCTTTTATTTGCGCGCTTGTAAAAAAAGAGCTGTTTTTGTGCACAAACTACGAGCTTTCTCTCCACCGAGGGATTCACTGAATGGCTCTTCACATCTTCCCAATTGGGATGTGAAATGTAATTGAAAGTCTGGAGCGGGAAAATTGGAAAATGTCCACGGAGTATGGCGAATATGGCCTACAAGATGCAAGAGGATGGCAAGAATCTGCGATATGTGGCATTATACAAGTTTACAACGAATGATAAAGTGCGCGAAGGGCGCGTCTGCGTCATCTAAAGTCCACCCACTCCTAAATTCGCGTATTTATTGCAAATATACCGCCTGCGTCAGTGGGTCGTCTATAAATCCCACCAAATGGTGTGGAGTTTTGAGAGAGATTCGTCAAGGATTTGGATCCTTGGGTTAGAGCAATTTTCATTTCTTCATCTTCAGATTATAGTCAAGGAAAGAAGTCAACAGCACCTAAACTACGCATGGCAAAATTACAAATCCTACAATAATCTGGCGCGTTGCACAATTTTCCACTGCTCTGCGTTTCTTTTGTGAGATCAGCAGCGGAAAGCCGTGCAAACATCAGTCAAAACGATATCTCGATTGACAGCTGTCACCTAGGTGGCCTAGGCGCGGCTAGGTGACAGCCAAGGGGCCGGCGCTTAGAAGGCTATGCTCGTGCGGCGTCCACCACGCTTGCCGCCGCGCGTGAGACCGCCCTGCGAGATACTCCGCCCCATCCGGGCGCCACACTCACTGCCCTTGCGCTCCCTGGCCTTGCGCAGCAGGCTGCTGGTGCTGGGGCGGCGGCTCTCCGTGCCGGCGGGCTTCTTGTCGATGATGTCCGATGTGGAGGAGCGGCGGATGTGCGGGGGGCTAATGGAGAGGTAGGGCGAACTGGACTGAGACTGCGATTGGTCCGCGTGTGTGTTGAGGAAGCCCGGTGATTTGTCCACGCTGCCGCGGTGGCCCAGCGTGCGGCCCGGGCTCTGGCAGTACGTGAGCAGCGACTCCGCCTCGTCCTTGTCCACGGCCTCGATTTTCAAGTACGGCGTGCGACGGATGCTGCCGCCACTCGAGGGCGCCGTGCTGCTACCGCTGCCGCCGCCACCCCTGGAGCCCTCGCCCGAGGACTGCCTGGCGCGCAGGCCCGCGTACAGGCTCTTCAGGTTAATGTCCAGCGACTTGAAGCTGATGAGGCTCGAGGAGTTGCGCTTGATAGCCTTGCGACTGGCCGCGTCGTCGTGGCCCAGATCAATTGACTTAATGTTATCAACTAATTGGCGTGCGGTATCGTTATCATTATCGTTGCTACCTATATTCGATGAACTAACTACGCGTGTGTTACCTAGCGTTGAACGTGTTAAATTGATATTTGAATTGGACTGGATAACGGATTGTGTGGCCTCTGACGGTGGCATTTGCAATTTGTTACTACTGTCTAAGGTCTCCTTTCGTCACTGAATTTCACAGAAACTGATTTTCGACGCTTCTTTCGGTTCCTCACCTATGCTCAGGTCCTCCTCCTTGGGTGACTCTGCCCCGCAGGGTTGCCCAGTTGAACTGGGTGGCCCCGGGGGGCAGGCTGATTGTCACCGAAGTGCCAGTGTGGAGATTGGCGGCGGCCGAACGGGTTTATTGTCCAATAGTCTCTCCAATTCCAGCATCACGGCCGTCGACAGGCGCGGCAACAGCTGCAAAAACGAATACGAAATCACCAAAACCCAAAGGACTCTATGGAATCTAGCTCTGTACCTGCAAGGCCTGCAGACTCTGGTGCAGTTGCTCAGGCGTTATTGCGCTCAAGAGCAGACATTGCACAGGTTCGTGCTTCAAAGACCACGCTATGGACAACTGTGTCGGACTACAACCTGAAGCCAGATACGAAAAAGGATCCAAAGTGTTAGAAATGGATGGAAATGCTAGGAGCTTTGCAAGGTCCTTACCTAACTTTTCAGCCAGTGTAGCAACATCTCTAATCTTGTCCACCTGTCGACGTCCTTCCTCGAGCCGTTCCTTGCTCCAACCGAAACTCTGAAAAATCAAGGATATCACAGTTCTAGCAGCTTTCTAAGGATTCTAGGCTAGACAATTGTTAGAATACTCTAACTAGCATTAAGTACGTTAATCAGTTCAACTCACATCCTTGTTGGCCTCATCTTCTGTCCACGAGTAGCTGTGGCTCTTAGTCTTAAAGGAGCCCTTGGAGAAGAGGATGCGCTCGCCATTCTGCGTGTCGCCCAACGCCATGGAGAGCGGGCCCCAGGCCATGAGGCCTACGCCGATCTTGTTGTACATCTCGGGCAGGTAGAGCTCAGCCTTCTCGCGGTTGAACATGTGGTACTCCGCCTGCTCCACGATGGGCGTGATGCAGTTGAACTGGCGGCAGTTGGTGTAGGCCTCCATGATCTCGACGGGCGACCAGCGCGCGGTGCCCCAGTACATGGCCCATCCCTGGGAGATGACGTAGTTCATGGCTCGGACGATCTCCTCCATGGGGCACATGGAGTCAGCCTTGTGGATTATCACAATGTCGATGTACTGCAGCTGAAGGCGCTGCAGGCTCGCCTTCACGCTCTCGATGATGTGCTTCCGCGACAGTCCGCGCTCCTCCGACTTTGTACTCCAGTAGATCTTGGTCGACACCACGAAGCTGGTCCTCTTCCACGCGCACTTCTGCAGAATCTTGCCCAGTTCCGTCTCCGAGTGCGCCTCGCTGATGTCGAACAGATTTATGCCGCTCTCCACCGCCAGCCGGATGATGGCCTCCGCCTGGTCCTCGGGCACGCCCGAGGAGAACACCGGCCACGTACCCAGGCCCACATTGGACACCCGCAGTCCGCTCTTGCCCAGGTTCTTGTACCGCAGCCCGGGCGTGGTGTTTGAGCTGTGGCGCAGCGGCAGAGCCGGATTCGAGCCGAGGCTGATGGAGCGCCCTGGCACGGAAAGAGGGCATTAGCTCACAGCGATCTCAATGGGTGACAAGGTGTGAAACAAAATTCCAGAGTATGAGCATTCACTGAACATACAGAGAAGATGTGTGTGATGATGAATTTGCAGAAGTTTGCCACAGTTTCAGATCCAATTACCCACGCGCTCTTCTCTAATTTATCATCACAAACTTCCCTCTTCACCAATTATATCAAATATGTATCGAGAAACTGTAATGTCGAGCAAGCATTCAAAATGAGAAGAATGAGGAGAACATTTCCCGTTCCGGAAGTTGGTTCTCCGTGTTTTGGAAAAGAGGCGCAAAGTTCATTACAGAGAAAATGTCATTTGTTGTTGAATAATTGTAAAATTTGCAGGTGCAGAGAAAACGGAAATGCAATTGAAATGAGATTAATAATTCGGTGAAGGGAAAACCGCCTCCGTCGAGTTGAGGTTTTGCTGGGTGTGGGAGAGCTAAAGGGGGAGTGGAACGAAAATGGTGTCAAATGAAACAATATGAGGATATAACCAAGGAGAAGAACTACATATGAAAGTGTGTGGAACGAAAAGAGAGATGATGTGGTGGGCAGAAATCGAGGACCTCTTTCTCACGCGCTCACAGAGTCACTCTCACAGGAGGAAGCTAAAGAAGCAAGAGTAATTAAATACCGAAATCAAGGTGGCCCGTACCACTGAACTCTTCCATGCAATCGAGGGACGCTATTGGCGCTCGGCACCTGCAACAGAGAGATGGGAGCAGTAAAAAAGGTAGATGTAATCATGGGCATTCATAAATTTGCGCCACCCCCGCAGAGCCGCCCAGCTGGAGACTGGGAGCGTGGTCAATTGGCTGGGATTTAACTGCGGGGACCTGTAAAATTGATGAATATTGCCGACTTTTATGCCTCAATTTGCCACCATTGAGCGCCGTTGAGTTGCCAATAACTTAGATATGAGATACCATAATTAGAATTCAATTAAACTGTCACGTTTCTGAATTCCCCACTTCGATTAGTTGTCAGTAAAAGCTATACTTTTTCTAACACTCACTGAAATATTTATTTTAATATATAATTTTGGGGGCTTTAAAAATCATAAATTCCTCAAAAGCTTGTTTTGAACACCTAAAATTAAGAGCAAGAGTTTAAGCTGCTGCCTTCTGACGGAAGTAAGCGGGGAAAATAATCAAAATTTAATTATATTTAAATCTTGAATAAATAATCAAAAGATAATAAAAATATTATTGAAATTTTTGTAGAATAAGCAATATTAAAATAAAAATCAAGAAATGATTGTATAATTACAAAATTAATGATCTCAAACCGTGAGTGACTTTCGTCTTGTCAATTTATAATAGAATGTTTAGAATAATCGAATTAATCAAGAATTGTGGTTTTTATTGCATATTGAAAAAGTCTCTGCATTTTCACAAATGCATCTATTCCGTGAACTAATTGAGAATAACAAGGAAGCTTTAAATTGTCTCTCTGATAAGATTATCTTGAAGATTTTATGAGCTTCTCTCACAATCCCAACAGGATGATTTTCCTATCGGGATTGGCATAACTCTGAAGACCAATAAATTGAGTTTAATCGTAAATTTGTTATGGCACAACTTGCCCATCAATCTACCTCACTATGCACATATTGTTGATTTTCAATTACAACTTGCATTGCAGACTGAAACACAGAGTCTAAACAACCCCAATTCCTCTGCTTTAATCCACTTAATCCCCACCCCAAACTTCCCAATCACACATCCTGCATCTTGTGCTGCAACTCTGTTGGGAATTTGCGGCATGCGAGGGTGGGTTGCGCTTGGGGGTGCACGCAGGGGAGGCGCGCGCGTCTGAATCAATTAGCAATTCGCCACGTGGTGATGGGCCGTTGAGTGTTATCACCTGTAAATTGTGACAGGATTTGAGTCGTCGCTTGTGTTATCGGCATTGTTGTTGTTATCATTGCTTCCCCCGGTCGATGAGGCCACATTACACAGCACAATGGACATTTTACGGGCCAGACTCGAAGCGCCCGCCAAGAGGCTGTGACCTTTCTTCTGAACCGTTTTGATTAGCCTTTCTCAGTCCCTTTTCTGACGCTCAACACCGTGCGCGCACTCTTATTGCAGAATTCTCACCACGTTCACTCGGGCTTGGAAATCGATTTCCATCATCATCATCATACTTCTGAAAGCAATCAAACCGCCACAGTTTGGCTTTTGCAAAAGCCAACTATCCGGAAAACTGTGGCGGCAACCCAGCGGTTTTCCATTTCCATGATTCCCTCTTTTTCGGGGCGGCTTTTATTAATTGTTAGACACGGTGTTCGTGACCTTTTTCGACCAACACACACACACACACACACACACACACACACACACAGAACAATCTCAGGCGAAGAAACCTGCACAGGAAATGGCCATTGTCCAGGTGTGATTTACAACCACTTCTGACGGTTGATTTGCGATGCATCCATGAACATTGCATGGTTGAATCGATACAAGAAAGTTTACCTTGAGCAAATATATTCCACTCGCAAGGCTCACCGGAGTTATTCCAGAGATACAAGCTCAATAAAAGCCAAATATTTGCCCTGAAATACTCCTTTTTAGAGCCCGTCAGGCTTCACATACAATTAAATATACACATCCAGAGGCGCAAAAAAGCTTTCGACGAGGGGTGAAATCGACACAGAGTTGCGTGCCAATGTTTTATTTTTCACCGCGCTGATGAGGGCGGCAAAAGCTCCGCACCTGCAAGAGCTTCTCCGCGTGCTTCGGGAAATCACGTGAAATATTCAAAGCCAGAGAGTCGCATTTTCTACGTGCGGATCCACAATTGATATTCCTGGATGAGGAATGAGGTGGGGAAATTCTCACTGGACTGGGTTTTTCAATTGCTAATCAATATTTCATGTATGGAAAGTTGTGTGTTTTAGCGTGGCATTTTACACCATATGCAACTTCCCAGTATGTTGATAATAACACGCAGAATGTTAATTCAACTCTGTTGGAATTGACTTCATCAGCGGGTGAGTCATAGAGATTGTGTATTGACTAAATATTGATCACGTAATATTTGAACGTTTGTATTTATTTTATATGTTGTGTTCATTTGACAAATAAATGGACTTTATTTAAAGCTCACATTCCTTATTTATGGCTTAAACTGTATAATCCACACGAGTTGAAGACTCAGTTTGAAGATAGAATTTTTAATGATTCCTGTTTAACTTTTGTCAAGACACCCAGCGCAGTTCGTTAAAAAGTTAGAAAGAAGCTTTCAGTAGCTATTTATTATTAAAATTACTTAGAGACATCATCGAAGCTCTGCTATATAGCATACATAGGTATACTGTTCTTTTTCTCTCACTAATTTGACAAGATCTTCCCTCTTTTTCAGGGTTATTTCTGGCAATTGTGGCAAATAAAACTTCAGCAGTTCGACATGTGAGGCACTAAGTTGAAAATTTGATGGAATTGCAGTGACATTTTCCAGCCGAGCAACACTTGAATGACCTGCTCTGTGTCGCATCCCAGAGGAATGGCACTGCAACACCCGAAAAACCGCCCTCCCACCACTCGGGACACGGAACACCAGCAGCGCCAGAGTCCATGAATAAATGCATTGGTCCGCAATGATGACTGCAAGCTGCGGAAATCGATACTTTGTCGAGCAGAAACTTTCGAGGCGTCAACAAAGCATTTAGTGGAATTACAACCCGTTGAAGCGCTAATTAGAATGCAAAACAAGTTACTGGGAATTTTTCACTTCTTCAGCCCCAAAAGCCGCCATTCTTCCCAGGATCTTCCTGATTTTCTAGGGTGGGGATGAGTGAAATCAATTTTCCTGCCAATCGAAAATGAATCAGAGAGAATTCGAGGTTTGGGCGGTTTTGCCTCGCCAAATTGACAAACATCCTCAATTTCTGGATATTCATCGTAATCACACAATCAATAGAGCATCGCTGAGATTCTTCTCCGTTACTTTTGCGACAATGACGTCACAACTTCCTCAGGTGTCCGTCTTAATTACCCAGCCTAGGAGTCACGCGAAGATGTTGGTGTAGAAGTAATTGATTTATAGGTGAAAATGTCTTGCTCGGTTTCCCGCCCAAAAGCCCTCAAAACAAATAGCAAACAAATCGTGAGCGTCTCAAGGAATCTTTCAGTAACTAAATTAATGGGATTTATGACTGTGTGGTGAAAAGTCATTTTGAGTTTGATTTAAAAGTCCAATATGATTTTTTTTCTTCCTCAACTTTGTGCGCCATGAAGTGTTTATTTATAGCTGATGCCAAAGTATTTTGAGAGTTTAATGCCGCCAAGAGGTGATTTAGGAATTGACAAAATAACCCTCCTATTTATAACGCTGGCCAAGCGTGAGAATTTCCTGCAAACGCTCAACTTTCAGGAGAATTCCAATGCGATAAAATAAATGAGATTTTCAACAATTTTGCAGCGCACTATCGAGCGAAAAGCTCTCTTTCCCAGCAAAAGAATTAAATCACATTCGCAATAAAACCAATTCCGATGAGAAGTTTCCATGCAAAACTAAAAATCCCCCGGATTTTATCAATTGAGAATTCAATGGAAATTCCTAATCTCCGTGGCATTACATAAGGATTCACACAATTGGCGAAAGAGTGAAAAATTACCTCAGAGTTGATTAAATTTTCAACACGATTGATATGACGTCAGTGGCAGTGTATCATTTTTCATCGTTCACGGGATATTTCGTTGTTTTTTCCCACCCACTTTCGCAACTTCTCTCTTCTACTCTGCATAACGCGCTGAAATATTAGCACTTTGATTGCCCCACTTTTCTGTAATACGCTTTTTCCACGTTCGTTTTTTTCCCTCTTTCTCTCTTTCAGGAGTTTCCCACCGAGCAAATATGAACAATATTTTCCGTATTTTGTGCTATCTCAGTCGTTTATCTTGTAGTTGAGGTTTTATCGACACCACTCTCACACTATTGTCTCGTCCACAATCGTCAGCTCGAAATCTGGCTGTGATTCCTCGTGGGCCACAAGCGAATTAGCTAATAGTACAAGAGACATTCGCCCACCTCTTCCGCCAATTGGACATGCCGGATATCGCAGTGGAAACTTCCCCATTGAAAGCCCCAGAAGTGTGATAAATTCACACGATAGTGCGGCTTTTGTGGGGCGGATATTAAAAATACTGAAAGAGTCATTTAGTTGATTTAACGCACACCAAGAGAACAGCCATTTGAGGGGCTGTAAAACGGCCAACATAATTGCCTTTGGCCACTTCGTATTTGCATTTTATGGGAATAAATTTGCATTCATCGGCAGAAACGTGTATTGAAATTCAAGGTGTTGATGAGGATATTTTTTACCACGAAAACACATCCTGAATATATTTCGCAGGGGCGCATGAATGTTTTCTTTCAATAAAAAATCAAGTGGAAAACATGGGTTTTTTTGATATTTTTAGCATGTAAATATGAATAGTGCAATATTTTAAATCAATTTTCAAAGAAATTATACAATTTCATATTCAAATTCAGAAAATTCAATAAAACCACCCAAAAAAACATATACACAAAACGTTACAGACTGAAGCTGGAATATTTTAGAAAAATGAACGAATCTCTTAAAAGATTCAAAGCATCCATACTTTATTGATACTTCAATAAGATTAAAGGTTTGATTTCACCAAATGATTTGGAGGAAATTTAATATAAGATTACATAAATTCAATCCAATTCAGTAAAAGCACAACCTTAATTTCATCATCCCTTCCGGTGGCTCAGCATGAAACTAATGAACTCCGCAACATTTCCCCCAGTTGTTCACCCCCGGGGTGGTTTTTTTTGCATGGGAAAATCATCAGTAGCGACGTCAGGAAAGTCAGGGACAGCGGGAGAACACCCGAGGAATTTATTGAGGCTATTTCTCACGGCTGTTCGTTGTGCAGATGTTGAATTAGGAGACACATCTCCGTGTCACATGGTGTATTTATAATTTCGGGATATAATATCTGCTGCGACAACTATTTTTAATCACCCACTAAAAGTTGAGAGCCGCGATGAATGGGGCAAGTGAAGCGAAACCTTATGGGTTTTCCTTCATGGCCACACACACACACACACACACGCGAGCGCCCTACATCTCCAAGAAGCTCGATGACACAGTGAAAACGCGATGAGATTTGATGGCCGGACGAGAGACCATAAAAATAGGGATAAAATAGGAGGCAGTTTTGTGGCGACTGAGCGGGAAATCGTCATTAAAAGTTTGGAATTATGATGTGCCACTGATGAATAAAATATTATGGGGAATAATAGAGAAATCATTAGGGTGTCTATATTTGTCAGGAAGTGCGCTGCAGATTAATCTCCGCGCGCCCTGGCGTGGCTTGATTGATAAATCGATAGTAATTGTTCATGTGAGGCCAGGAAGAGCTGCACAGCCAATAAAACACTTCAATGGAATGCCCACTATTTCTCACACCTCCCCAACCCCATCACGCCCACTATATATGGCCCAGCATTTCGGCAGCACGAGGAGGACGCATATTGTTTCGCCACAAAGAAGACGCCCGGAAAGGCTCAACATTTGCATGAATTTTTAATGGGTTCACATTTAGGAATTAGTTTACATATTTGTCGAAAAATCACTTAACAAATTTGCCCTCCGCCCCAAAAGTAGTCGGGCGGAATTTCCCCCAATGAATATTTCATGGCGTTCCCGAGGAGCATTACCATAATTTCTAAGTGTATGGAAATTGATAAATTGACCGGTTGCAGTGTTGTCTGTGTTATTTTTCTCAGAGCCTATTAAGGCCATTTGTGCAGAGACAAAAAGGGGAGGAATGAGGATGAGAACAGGGGGTGGCAATTGAAGTGGGCTGGCGGAATAATTGTGTGAAAATGAGGGGTGATTGGAAACAGAAACACACACTCATAATTAGTTAACCCCCCAGGAATATTCAGAACATCCAGCAAAACCAATAAACTTAATCACTTCAATTGCACATTTCTGTGAATGGTACACGGAAAGTCAGATGGTGGGGATTTATTTTGCTGAGGACTTTAATAAATCCCTGCATAAATCGCTGAAGAAGCCATCCCGTGAGCTTTCAAGGTGAAATATGCTTATGGTAGCTTAAGGCATATTTCACCTCCTGGAGAAGGCTTTCCATATTTTAGCACGACTCTCTCTCACTCTCACAGCTCATGCTGTGGAATTGTGTAAGCACTCTGGCGTCTCACTTTCAGATCAACATGACACTTTTGCGAGCTGTTGCCTGGTTAGGGAAAGAATTGGCGGAAAAAACGTCCGAAATTTCCGCGTATTGCAGACCTTCAGAGAAAGAGTGGAATTAAAATGACGACCATGGGGTTGAAACATGCAGCGAAGGGTGGTAGAAAAAAATCAACAAACGACCAGCAAAGAGGAGAGATTACGTAACCGCACGACATAGAACTTTGCTATCGATCTAACTTGGCACATTTTTCGACTTGAGAAGCTCGAGTTTTTCGCACTATTGCCACAGTAGCAAATGGGGTCGGATTGCTCTCTTCCCAGGAGACACTCGAGTGCAGGCCAAGCACGACACCTTGTCCTCTCGCCGAGTCCCACAGGAGCGGTAAAGATAAGCCGATGTGGAGAACAATCTCTGGCCTCAGGGGCGGAGAGTGTGTTTGTTTTTGGGCGGAAATCCGCCTCTGAAGTGGTTGCAATTTAAACAGAGCACACACACACACACACACACACAACTACTTTACCAGGCGTCTCCATGCGAAACTCCTGAATTCTGCACGCCAATTTAATCAGTATTTACTTCTGCGGCAAACTTTCGTCCCCCCGCCCACTGCATTGCCGCCCGATCGCGCGATTTTCGCAGCTCCTGTGCCGCAAGGGAAAGGAAGGATGGACAGAGACCGCAGTGTTGCACAAAGGACTGTGCTTCCTGCGAGGGATCTCTCACAGGAAGACTCGTAATTTCCTCAACCCCAAATTACTCTCGTTTTTTCTGTGTCACTCCATTCACACTCCCCCCCAAAAGAGGGTTCTTTTTGGGGGTGGAGACGCACTCACAATTCACGCCGGAACGCACAGAGGCAAAAATGTGTTTCACGGACACGCGGACAAATAAACACACGAAGGACACGACAATTGAAACGGAAGTGTGTGAAAACGGGAAAAGCAGCCCTTTTCGTGTATATATCACTGCTCCTCTCGCCCCAAGACCGGGGCAGAAGATTGCGCGAACGCGACACAAAAACAGACCTACAGAACCAATAACAACGACAACGGAGTTTCGACTGAGACTTGCGGTGTGTCGGTTCGAGATGGAAAGCCGAGTCGCACGCGCCAAAAAGCTTGGCGGCTTCGAGGGGAAAGCTCTGCGCACGTGAGCTTTTCCGCACTCGTCGTCTCTGTCGCGGCGCTCTTTGTTCTGTCTGTGGCAACGAGGGGCCAGCAACTGTGCCCACACCACAGGCAAGAGGCGCTAATTACCCACGAGTCGGCAGTATTGATTGGATTAATGCACAGGGGCTTGAGTCAATATTTGGATGGGCACAAATTGACAAGTTCGGCTGGGAAGCAACTTTCTAATTTCAGACGCCCACCAACAAAGGGATAATTTTGACGAGAACTAATTACTTTTCCCAATGGTGTAAACACTAAATTTCATGTCATGGAAGCAATAATTTGAATTACTTCCTAATGATTTTATTCCTTCATCGCTCAAAATGTCCCGGAAAAGTACTGAAAGAATCCCCACATAATTTATTTTAATCAAGGAAAATTTTCCTTCGTACACAGTATTTTCTGCTCAAGAATTGCCTCAAATAATCTATTAATTTTTCGGAGATATATTAAACTTCTTCTCTATATTGTATTAAATTGAAGAAAACCACATAACATACCTAACCATAAAATGAAAGTTACTCAAAAGCCAGCATTTTGCAGCTGTGAAATACTTAGAAATTTCATTTCGCATAGTCGAAAATGTCAGTGATTTTCCCTCTTCACACAACTTTAATATAATAATTTCTGCTCTTGCTGCGCTCCACTGAACTACTTTCGGAGCATCACCAGCAGCCTCATGTGGTCCACAGTTGAGCTATTGACCCCCCAACTATAACGTGTGATGCTGCTCCACTTTATTCGCAACAGAGTGGGATTCTCGAAGATGGATAGAAGATTGTGTGTGTGGCTTAATCTAGAGAGCGAATATTCCACCCACATTTCAATGAGGCCCTCCAACACAGCTTCCTGTCTTTCAATTTCGTCAAAAGAAGTCCTTCGATGGGGTGGTTTGAAGGCATAGCGTAGAAAACTGCTGAGAAGGACGTGAATTTTTGCAGAAGATAGTTTTCATCTTTATGGATTCACCCAAACTATAAGGATTTTATGTGTTTGGCACTCTTCACACCCTCCCCAAGACAAGATGCTCCGAGGGCGGAAGGCAAGCGCTCTGGCAATGTATGTAAATAGACATTCATCACACTTTGAAATTGCTTCGGAGTTTATTTGTGACGGTTGATGGAATTGAAAGCGAACCACCAGGCGTCCCCATCGCGTGGCAAATGGAGAAAGAAATGTAAGAAATACGCAAGGGGGTGCGGAGCTTCCGGGTGCGGGAAATTGGGCGCTCACGAGTGTGAGATGTGCGCCATAAAAAGTCTTCCCATTTCCTCGGCAATGCGAGAGATATGTGGTGTGGCATCAGTTTTGCAAAAGTGGTCAAGTAGTTGATGAAAAGTGAGAAGAAAACTGCATTGCGATATTGAGGAGAAGAGAGCTGCGCACGAAGTGCATTTCTGGGTGGGGAGAGAGGCAATGTCTTTGTCTGTGCGTCCTTGGTCGCGGGGTGAAAGAAGCGGAAGCCAGCTTTCGGGGAGGAGAGCTGAGTCTATGCAATTGCTGGGGAGACTTTCGGGGATGCTCCCGAAAGCGTGCACGTCACGGGATCACCCTGCCCCACATCTGCACTGCGGTAGAAGTCATGTTACAATCAACACATCGCTGTGTTATGTAATGCGTTGGCCGGAGAGGGACGGCGAGAGCTCTCGCCACAGGGTGACACCGGAGAAGCGTGGGAAAATGGGGTATCTCCGCTGTCGCACTCTCCATTCACATTTCGCCCCACACTCCCCAGGGGACGACAGGTATAGCGTGACTGGGCGCCGTGTGTCTCTGCAATTGACCAGATGCCGCGATTGTTGCGCAGGGGGGCTCCAGCGGGGGCTCGGGGGCGCCCTTGGGTACTTACATCAACCGATGGATAGTCTCGGACTGAGACTGGGAGTACGTTATTGACTGGTCGCTCTCGGTGGAGTCATCACGCAGGGCAATGATTCCGATGGATGCTGCGGCGGCTGGGATGGTCGCAGCCGCCACATGGGTGGGCGCTGCTGCTGTCACGGTCTGCGGTGATGGGGTCGTGCTTGTGCGCTCCTGCAAGCAAGACAACACCTTAGCCCAACCATCTCTGTCACGATTATCGGGCTTCGGCATGTGTACGTTGAGGATTACATTCACCAGGAAGCACTCAGATTATGTCTGACACTGAAATACCGTGGGATTAATTGGAGGAAGAGGAGGAGGGATTTGGGGGGAATATGCACACACTCGCCTAAGCCACTTTGTCACACCGTCACGACATCAATCACTGCCAGGAGTGCGGCCCTACCTTGCTGCCACTCGTGAGACAGTCCTTGTCCGTCGCCGATGAGGATGCAGTCCGATCTGGCGGAGTCTGCGACTTCCTCTCGTGGACCTTGCTCGGCTTCAGGTCCGCTGGCAGTGTTCTCTCACAGGAAGCTCTTGGAGCCGTGCCACGCTCCACACCCTTGGCCTGTGGCAGCTGCGTGTGGACCTGCGAGGATGGATTTTGATTGTGCAGCTTTTGATTATCGTGTTCCTTCTTGCGGGCGGATTCCAAGTGTGCTTGGCGAGCCTCTCTCTCCTGCTGACGTCGTATCTCTAGGTCCAATTGTCTCGCCTCGCGAGCATCGCGCTCTCTCTGGAACGACCAGGAAGAGGGACATGCAGAAAAAGTGCCCAATGAGAGACCATGAGAATATGCCCAAAAAACGTGTCACACCGCTTTAATAGCCCCTCTCACTCTCTCTCACTCTCTCTGGTACGCTCAGAGAGCGCCTCACATGAGCTTTGCTCTCTCACTCTCACTTCGCGAAGCCCACTCTCTCTCTCTCTCTCCCGCATACATAGTAATGTGACATGTGAGCGAGCTTTCGCCAGTGGAGCCGCCTGGTAGTGACTTACTTTTAGATTTTGCGCCTCCAACTGAGCATTCTGCTGCTCTCTCTCATTTCTCTGGCGCTCTCTCTGCTTCTCCTCGTCAGTCTGTGCCGATTTGCTATCTGCAAGAGGCGATTGAAAAGCTCTGCGTGAAAAAGCATTTGCACTCTGTGAGGAGAACTTTTGGCCCAAAAGCACACTTGTATGTCCTCAATATCTTTGGCAAAAGGCTTTCCATAACAATTTACTTCACTTCCATCAGCACTTATCGCTTCTTCATCTCTTAATCTCCCATCTTTTCTCCCCTCCGCTGATCACGGAGATTTTCCTCCCCAGCAATTTCACCAATGGAGATTTCCCGGGGAAAAATTATACACTGCACAGCAACATTGTCGCTCAGCGGAGTTATTAAGGAGTCATTTACTGGCCCTTAAGAGTCATTCGCTTCCACAATTAATTACCCCGCAAAGTTTATGGGCCAATTCTGGAGTGCTTTATAGATAGGGAGAATCTAAAATCTGCACTTTTCCGGCCATCGTGAAATATTCATTACATACAATGCTCTGCCACGGCAAAAAACACAGTCTGAACAGCGCCCAGCACTTACTTGATGATCCACCAGCCCCGGGTGGAATGTAGCCGGAGGACGAGAACCAGAATTGGTGTGCCAGCTTGGATGGGGCCCCGCGGGCGTCCTGCGGAAAACACGGGCGGATCAATTTGTGCACAAATAGCGAAACGCTAATTTAAAAAATAGAGTGAGACACCATTAAAAGTTTTGACTGGGAGTCCACTTAAAAATTCATTATTCCAATTACGATACGGAGCAAAGGGGCGCAATTGTCACATAAAAACAGAGTATTGTGTCGCAGTAAAAAGCCAGGATTTAATCCTCTCCCCATAAGTATCACACTGGATGGCTTATGGCAGTGGGTGGTGGTGGTTGTGTGTGTATTTTTTTGGCACGACATCCACTGAGCTCCCTTCGCGTATATCGCGCGGAAATTTTGATGAAGCCTCATCATATTCGATCCATAATTTATGAATATAAATGTGTGACAATCCGGAGATATTTTTTCATATATGTGTGACGCTCCTCTGACAGTTAACGTGGCAAGGGGAGCACCGAAAGGGGGTGGAGATTTATGAATCACGATAAATGTCTCGGCAGTAATAACAGAGTTTACCCTCGTATCCATTATGAGCATGTGTATAGCGATAAATTGCAAACAAAAAGTTTTTATGTCGTGTATTTTATAAATATTACCCAACATTGAGGCGAGTGAGTAAATTTTTTGGACCGCTTCTGGACACTTTTCTGCTTGGGTTTGGAATTGCAAAACTTACACTTCTATGTGTATCACTGTCAGTTTTTTCCATTAATTTTCAATTAGGCGCATCGTCAAGCTTGAAAACCCATGCCAAAAAGCTGTGCCTTGGCAGGCTTTTCCTCTTCAACCCCAGAGTTTTCGAAACTTCCAACAAGTTTTATTCAATTTTCTTGCAGTGAAAAGAATGCAAAATTCAACTGCATTTGCGTGATTATAATATTATAAGAGAAGTGCTTCAGCACGCTTACTTTTGTGCATTGATATTAGCGAGAAGGTGAAGACTTCCAGTGGTGCAGAAAAACACGTAAAACATACCTCAAGAGACCTATTAATTGAGCTTAATAGCTGTGAAACAGTGAGAAAGGAAAAATTACTGCACAGAGCGAACAATTCACCACTCTGAATTGTTATGTACATAATATATTTCACCCCCAGAAAAGGCATCACAGTGCATTTGCGTTGTGATGACTTTGCTAAGGCTTAAGACACGTAACTTGATATGGAGATTTACAATTCATAAATTTAATGAATTATAAAACATGCACATCTTCGGGTTAACATTTCTGGGAAATGCAAAATTCATCAGCCATCCCCAAGTTAACGATACCGACAATCTCTTATTATCTCCCTTTATTAAAGCGCTCCAATGAGAGCCAACCGTAAAAGCTCTGCGAAAGCTTCATCAGTGGATGAAAGAGCGGCAAATGTGTATAATATATTCATGGTAATATGGCTTTAGATGGCTAAAAGTTGAGCTCATTTAAGTTATCTCTCAAAAATAGGTAAATTGCTCAAGCAACAATGTTCATTGATAAGGCATTTATTCCATGAAAATTGATATGCCTTTTGTATCCAATTTCTATCTATAGTATAGTACACTTTCTCAATGATTCCGAGGCAATTTCCGAAGCTTCCTGATTGCCTTTCACGGGATGAAGAATTAATTAATAATCAATATCCCCAGTAAATCTTGAAGGAAATGTGCTAAGGTGGATTTTGGACAAGCTTCGGGGTGTTCTAGTAATGAGAAAAAAGACCTTCAATGCCAGCACAAGCAAGTTAAATTGTTAAAGTTACTCAATTCGGGCCAAAGACAGTGAATTTGCCGCGAGGTGTGCGTCGGACAGCTCGCAAACGTGCCAAATGGTTTGTGAGCATGCCGCTATGGAGCATTGTTGGATGGGAGGCGCGATATGATATCCGTTTCGCGCCTCCCAATCGAGTGGAAGTGACACAAGTGATGCGGAAGGGAGAGATAAAATTGTCAACCATATAAATATCACTCACCCGGCCTGAATCTCACGCCATTTATCACGGATATTATCAGGAATTCCATGGGTTTTCATGGGAAACTCAATGGGAAGATTTTTTTCAATTAATAATTCAAATTGCCACAGAATCCACTTTATACGGCAATCTGGTGAATCTCTTTCTCATGCATTTGCTAGGGAGCTTTTTTGCCAACGCCAAAAGCTCCATTTCAGCGATTGAGACACATTCAATCGATTCAGTTGATGCCATTCCATGCTTAGAAACGCTGAATTTCACATGATGGGAAAGGGAAGTGTTTGCTCTCTTCCCTTATTCCCATGGCCTCAAACACTGTGTGTGTGTGTGTGTGTGTGTGTGTCTGTGTGTGTGGAAAACACGCCGTAGAAATGGTGTAAAAAGTGGATTAAACACGAGATTAAAAATCAATTTGTGTGAATAGTATTTCCACATGGTGCAGACGGTGGTGCATGAGTTCATAGGGCAATTTAGTGAAAATCACCCCTTTTTTTGCCTTTCCACAAGTTCTCGCCCTGGACAATTTTCTACCGTGGAAAATTGCCAATTTGGCCACGCAAACTATTCAATAACCCAGTCTAGAGAATCAGTGTCGAATTTGAGTCTTCAGCACCGCCAAAAAGTCCCTCAACCACCAATTAATTGCACAATCACTGCAGATGTTGCAGTTTTCGTGGTGCTGCAAAAATTAATTTGCTCTGTGTATACTATTTCATACCACCGCGAAGAATAAATGAGCGCACCTGATGCCACCCACTTTCCCTATCTCGAACCGTCTGGATGGAAAACAATTTCCTCAGTGACAGAAGGTTGTTTAAATATTGGAAATTGCTGTGGTTTTGGGGCTTAAATTGTAATCTTTTCCACCAAAACTGTTTTCTGGCACAAAACCACGCGTTGATTCATTTGCACTTTGGCCACATTACTAATTAATTGCAATGTTGTCTTCTCCATTTGTTTCTGCTCTACTATTATCCCCAGGTTCTTTCACCTCAATGAATGAGCCACTCTTTAACATTTGGGGGTTAAGTAGTTTTTGCATATTCTGCTGCTTTTTATGCCTCATAAAACTATCTCTAAATTGCCTCTCTTCCCTCTATATTTTTGAGGCTAATAAATTGTGTGACACTCATAATGTGCTGGTAAATGAAAATTGCAGTTTTGGTTATGAGCGCTGGTAATTTAATAAAATTCAGCTTTGCCACTCTTCGCCACAATGATTGCCCCTCCAATTTGGCACGGTTTCAAGAGCTCCGCTCATCATTTTTCATTACTGTGTCATATCAGCAAATTGTACCAATTGATGCACCTCATAAAGATCACCTTGCATTCCCGAGTGGATTTTCCACCTCATGACGCGTCGCTCAACGTATTGGCAATCGCACTTTGCCAATGATGATGAATGAGAGGACGTCGAGTGACGCGCTAAATATTTACATCATCGCAACCAATTCTCCACAACCACAAGATTCATTCTCGTGCAATGCAAAAGCCGACGAAGCCCTAATGTCCACTCATTATTGGCCCGGCAATTTCAAATCCTCAACAGTAGTAATTACAATGAGAAAAGTTTTCTTCAGGCCTTTTCTGGCGCAAAGTTGGCAATTCAAAGTAGCGCGAAAAACGCCGCAAAGAGAAGCGTGTGTGGCGAAGAAAAAGTTTTTGGCAGATTGCGTTCGCAGAATATCATTTCAATTGAGTGGCTCTACGTTGAAAATTGTGCGCGCCTCTCTTTGTCTCTTCACAAACCCAGAAGATGGAGAAAATGATAATTGCAAAAGATTAAAATTTATATGTACATACATAGCACAGAAGAAACTTTTACTCTCCTCCTGAGATTTAGAGAAAATCTCAAAGAAAATCTACATGCGAAGTAAAGTTAAAAACTTTTCTTCACGAAATTAAATTGTCATTTTGGCTTTTTCACTCTGGAAAATTTCGATGAAATTACACATTACCATTGTTAGATGGCTGATTTAGGGGGCTCTTTTTTTCATACGCTCCACTGAGATTGTAATCAAATTAAATGACCTGCCATTTGCAGTACCACATTGTGTCCATAACGGAGTTGGATGGCTCACTCGTCAAAATATTGAACGCTTAATATAATTAATCTAACGCATGTCATTTCAACTGAAGCATTTCCCTGGTTAATTGGTCACCAGTTAACCGAATTGTTGAATCAATCAAACTTTCAGGGCCTGGACAAGTGCTGCTTTAGGCATCCTTTGAAGACTCAAATATAGCAATTATATCTTGAACTTTGCTTTTACCAGGCGCCTCCACTTGACTTACGCGAATTCTATTGGCTGAAAAGATGTGTTCAATTGATGGATTTTTCAGTCAACGTGTAGCAGAAATATTTCCCGTCGAGAGGAAAAAAGAAGGCCGAAGAGAGACTATAGAAAAGCCACGAAGGCTGGATAAATCAATCTCGCGCTAGGGAAGTTTGTGGCAATTTATCAGGCGGCGCTTTTGGGTTTGAAATATTAATGGACACTTTATCTAAGCGAGAGCGCCGAATGCTCACGCACTCACAATATTTCCTCAATTATTCACAAACTTTCCACTTGCACTGGCGAAATGCTGACAAGTATGGCTGTGCTGCTCAAGTTAAGGGAATAAATAGATTTAATTAAAATGTGTCCCCAGGCCATACAAGCCATGCACTATAAATAGAATATTGCGAAGCTGCGGCGAAAATTTGTAATGCCGCCTGGCTTCTGAGTGTAATCTTGCATCAATATTTTCCCAGCCACTTGGGCACATCATTCGCTGAAGAGGTCCTCATGGTAATTGCTTCCGATATTATTAAAATTCGTCCCGAGGCTGAAAATTTCCACCACGGACAATCGCACAGACACACACAGTCCATAACAATAATTCTCACCCATGCATTTTCACACGGAATTACAGCAATTTGCCTTAACGGACATGCCACAATGAGGGGCACGCGGGGTTGCCTGAACTTTGGCACGCGGGCGGCGAGATGCGGGCTTCTGAGGGTGGCCGAAAATTGCTGCCTCTTGTCGACTCTCTGTGATTGAGTCGGGCGAAAGTTTGCCGCTCGGAGATGAGACCGACACTGAGGCATCCCAACAATTGGTATCAAGATTGAAAGAGTTTTGCGACAACTCGACTCAGAGTGTCATCCAGAGGGGTTTTCCAGCCACAAAGCGCCTCACTTCGACCCGACACTCTTAAGTATTATTCTCTGTTTATTACCGAGCGGATGCTCATGTTGGGGAATTTGTAAAATTCTGGGTTGTTGAGCAGTCACAAATACAAAGAGGACTAATTTTTATGCTACACAGTTTAAGCTAAAGGTGGAGACATTGTGGCCAAAAGTGGTGTACAAAACTGAGCAGAAGTTTCTGCTCTTACGAATAAACTATACCCCATAAAATATTTATGACATAAATCTTTCTAATGCTGCTTTTTGCACCGTCAAACAACGCGTGAGATATTTTGCATGATTTTCACGTGTATTTTAATGCAAATATCGCGGCAAAACACCTCAAAAAGCTCACAGATATATGCAAAGTTTCAGTGCCATCTTCACGCACATGTGAAGCTTTCACTGCAAATTTATGCCCCGCGTTGGAAAAAGGGCTGTTGGCAGTCGATATTTTCCCTTCAGGCCAAGGAGTGGAGAAAACTCCGCCACGAGCACTGGTTTTGCAAACATATGTAAAATTCACCTCATGTGAAATTCCTCCTCAGTGCCCAATAATTTATTCATAATTCCATTGATTTCCATTCATTGGGTGACGCTTTGGGGGGTGTGCGAGTCCTTTACAGGGGCCAAAAGTGACAATTTATCGGTGGATGTTTTGCCTCCAACTGACACCTAATTGAATTACACCCATAATTAATGGCAATGTTTATGACGAAGGTTTAACACATCAATTTGCATATAATTTCCCTCAAACTCGTGGTGAAGAATTGTGTCTTTCGGGGTGGTTTTTTCTTCACTTCCACCCCCAAGATAGAAAATAGAGAGCATAAAGTTCTCTACTTCATAGATAGTGAAAGCTCTCTTCGTAGCAAATTAGCACACGACTTGGCTGAATTATAAATAGCAGAAAGGATGCCAAGAGCAACAGAATTGCTTATGATAATTGTATCGAAGATGACGGGGTGAAAAGCGACGCCTCAATAAGGATCATTTTCACACATAAACACCCAATCATCTCTCATTAGCAATCGAGGAAAACTTTTCTTGACGTTTCCATATTGATTCGCCCTCCAACTCTCTTCGATTTCACCCAACTTTCGCGACAGACAGTTCCGCCTGTCTAACACGTCACACACCTTTTTGCGTGGAAGCAAAATAATGGGAGATTCTCATGACAATACGTGCCTTTTTTTCTACGTTTTCTGTGCGGCAGACTGAATAATAAGAATGCACTTTCATTTGCATGTTTTTCTCCGCCCCTTCTAAAGATCCACCCACTTTTACTGCTGTCTTCAATAAATCTGTGTGTATTTCCAATGTTATTGCATGGTTTTCAACGTGATTTACTTCCTTCAACACGCTGAAATTGCTGAAATTCAATTGCCTCCATAAACTCTCTTGCAATTCGACCATGAGGATCGAGATAGAAGCCGAGCAGGAAGCAAAGAGGGAGGAAGAGAGTGACACGAAAATGCATAAAAACGACGACAGAGAGGAAATAGTGCTGCAAAATACATGCTAATTTCCTCTTTGTACGTCTCCACGATGGTCTTGAATGTGTGCCAAGCAGACAGAAAAGCTGTTGATTTGGCCCCAAAAATTGTATTTCCTAATGAACGCAGCCGTGGACGAAGAGTGGGTTCATAAAAGAGGGAGTGTTTGTAAACTCTAACTGAGAATGGGTGAAGAATTTGCTCTTTAAAATACACAAATAACCTCTCCGACAGATGGTGGACTTTACAAGATATTTCCCAACTCACGCCAAACAAGAGGCGCGCTTGTTGAATACACTCTTATTACAACTCTCTCTCTCTCTCTCCCTCTCATCACGATTTTGAGATAATCCTCGGGACTTCTTCACCGTGATTAATATTTTAAAGCATGCGAAAGAGTGCACACTCGTGCCACTTTTTTGCGCAGCAAATATTAAATTCCGCTTTTGACCAAAAAGCTCACACAGAAAAGGTTAAAAGCTCGCTGTGGGTGGGGAAAAAAAGCAAGGGTCTGTTATTTTATCTCATGTGATGTTTGTGCTCAAATGTGTTGCTCGTAAATGTTTCTTTTTAATTATTAATTGTTGTTTGAGAGATAAATATTTGGGGAATTTCGTTTAAATACTTCCCAAAGTCGAAAGTCAATTGTTGCACTGATTTTTTTTTGTATTCCTAACAGCAAATAAATCAATACAATTGTGGAAAATGCCCTATTCTCTCACTTCAATCATAGAGTTATGCAATAAGTAAAGGCAATCATCTTATTATCTTGTGAATGTGCAATGAATCTTTGTGTAACCTTCTCCAGTCATACTCAATAACTTGTCAATGCAGCGAAATGGAGTTGGTAATTGAATGATACATACATATTATCAAGTTACAGAGAAATGAAGAAAATTTTTCTTAATTTATTTCTTCAGTACTGCTTTTCTACTGGCTTCTCTTATACATAGAGTGAACACAACCATTGAATCAATTTCAAAACTATTTCTATTGAGAGGAAAACTTTGACAAACGGATTAAATTTCCCCGAGAAGCTTTCTTGGTGAGCTTGTGAAAAGTTTTTCATACATGGGATTATATGCCTAAAAACCAGAAGATTACCGAAACACTTTGCTATAGTTTCACATCCAGTCTTTGTTGCTCATAACGCAATTTTTTTTCCTGTCCTGACAAACATCTTCTCTGGACTAAATCATTGCGTTTTTTTTTGTTATTTGTTGTCTTTCTCTCGGGAAATTATTATTTGTCTGCGCGACAGTGAATTCCCATCGAGTTTTGCGCCCTTTTGCCCAGGATTAGCTTAAACTCCATAAAATATTCACACCAACGCGTGGGAAAAGTCTCTCTGTCTCTCTCGCAATGACTCTCCGGAGAGATGGAGTTGGATTTCCACTTCTTATATATCACAAGCCAAAACATACACTAGGACGGTGGACACATTTAGTCCCATGTTTTCGCATTAAGATTTGACCGTCACGCACATTATGCATGGCACACAGAGAGGATGGATTTCTCCCTGATCGCTTTCTTTCTCTTCCGCCAGAGACACCCAGAAGAGGCGGAAGAAGTACGCGCGCGGAGGGACGGAGGAAAAGAATTGTGAAAGTGTGTGAAATATTTATAGATTTTGGGAGGCATTTGCGTGAACAATGCCGCCGAATCTGAAAATAACGCCACCTCAATGGGACTCGTGGGGGCGCGCGCGTGAGTCAAAACAGTCTCGCGGGGGCTCACCTGTCCTCGGCGGCGATAAGACTGTTGATTGCACTCAGATGCTGATTCTTATCACAATGCGTCGATATGTTGTGTTGCTCTGCATATCACTCGCGCGCGCCCCTTTTCGCGGCTCTCCTCCTCACACCGCCCCCATTTGGGAGCCCCACGGAGGTCCCTTCACTGTGTGCCAAACGCCTGGTGTCTCGCGCAACCGAGCCGAGCCGCCCTGCGGCGCTCGCGGACTGTCGATGGGGCGCCTCCCCGGGCGAGGCGGCCTGAGAACTCGGTGGGCCTTGGCTCCTGTCTTCACGTCTCGAGGCGAGGGTGGAGCGTTGAGCGCGATGTGCGACGATCTGGGCAGCAGGCACAGAACTGAGAGAAACCCTCGACAGTCTGACGAAATTCGCGCGAGTGGCACTGTTGCGCGCGCACTCGGCCACTCGCAGAGGCGAATGCACCTCGCCGTGGTCCTCAGAAGCCTCAGCATCCCACCTGCGGGCTCCGCGGAAGGTCAGCGGAATGACAAATTCGGGTGGCGGCACATCTTGGAAGCCGCCAATACTATTTACCACTTCCGCTGCTGCTTCTGTTATTGCTCAGCGCCAAATTATGCTTCCCGGTTGTATTGAATTTCTCCTACGTAGACAATTTAGTAACTCCGAGTGGGTTAACTGAAAATAGCGCATTTTTCTTGAGCAGAAGAAACCGGAGTTGATCATTTTGTCTTTTAATCCCAAATAAAAATGTTGATTTGCATAGAAGAATCGCCTTCGTGACTCTCAACTCGCAACTTGAATGGATTGAATTCCGCGCTGGAAAGAAGTGCTATTGAAAAATTCCCTCTGATTGATGATCAATTTTATCAAATTTTATTGCAACCATTCTTCTCACCAATTTTCCGCGACATTTGGCGAATATATTTCAATATTTTCCAGATTCGCCCATCACGATAAAATGCCTTGCGTTGGAAAACTGACAATGGCGATTTTTCTACTAGAAGGAAAAGCGATTAATAAACTTCTGCGTCATCTCGAGATTATTCCACGTGAAGATGTGAAAGCCAGAGATTTCTTCTGGGCATTCTTCAAGAATTTGCCTTGCCCACTTTTCCGTGATGCTCAAAATCACTTCCTGAAAGGCATCATTGTTCTCTCTAGTTTCCCTGAATTTCCGCCAAATATCCTCATCGACAACAATCCGGCCGAGTTTTGTAACAAATTGGAGTGATTCAAAGGACGGTGGAATGAAGAGTCCTGGCAGAAAAGTGGCTTTGATTCCGATTGAGCGGCATTTTCTCATAAACTCAATGACTTTTGAAGCGGAAAAATTCACTTGAGTGATGATTAAATCCGCTCCGGCGTCGACTTTCTCTTTCAATCGCTGCAAATCATCTTCAAGCGATGTGGCGAGGAAATGCCCATCAGGATATCCGGCCACGGCGATTGTCGCGTCTGGACGATTGCTTCGTAGCCATTTCACCAACTCAGCGGCGTATCGAAACTCCGGACAATTCCCAGAAGCATCTGAAATTGTAACAATCATTATTAATAAAGTGTTTGTGAATTCAAAAGAATATTCTTACCGCCTTGAAGAGCGAAAAAGCTGTCCAAATTCCCAATCCTCAATATGTTCGTTAAATCTCCCGAAGTCATCTTGAAGCATGTGAGATGAGAAAGAACAGGGAAATTATTCCGAAGCTCTCTTGCCATTTCCAGCGCTGGACAAGCTTTAGGACTGTGTTGAAAGGCCACGAGATTCTTGTCTGAAATCCACGTGATGCTGGCGAAAAGCGGCGGAGGATTCAAGGATGTTAAATCGAGTGGCGGATCCGAAGGTGTGACCTCGATGGAATAGAACATCTCCTTCCGGGAGATCTTCTCACTAATCAATTCAATAAGCTTCCCACTCGGCGTCCCAGAAGTGGGAGAATTTCCTGCATATTCCTCGCTCATGTTATGATGTCCTTGCTGAAGCGCAAATTACTGGATATCAGCAGGGAATGTGTGCTGTGTTGAATCACTTTGCCAATATGTAAGATGTTGAGATAATTTAACAATTACTCTTCTTATGAAGATCTTGTTATTAAAAGCTGACAATTGACTGAAGTTAGCTGAAAATTCGATCATCAAGAGACTCTCACTCTGGGAAAATTGTACATTAACACATTATTCTCCACTTTTCATTCATTTATCAAGCATTATCGACGCTTTTGAAGCTCTTTAAAAGCTCCATAAACAGATTTTACAGGTGTTTCTGTGGTAATTTGGTGAGAAAAACGAACTCTAAAATTATTAAAATAATTTCAACTGTCAAGAAATTACCATTTTCTTCGTGGAATTTGCTTATAAATGCATGAAAATTGCAAAGAACATCTGAAATTATTCTTTTCAATAGATTTTATTTTATTCTTCTCGCCAATTTCTTCCACATTTCTTTCAGCTAAAAGGAAAATCGATTAATGAACTTCTGTGTTATTTCCAAATCATTCCACGTGAACAAGTGAAAACCAGAGATTTCTTCTGGAAATTCCTTCAAAATCTCCTTCACCCAATTTTCTGTAATACCCAAAATTACTTCTTGAAAAGCATCATTATTTTCTCTGTGTTGCTTTAACTTCAGCCAAATATCCTCATCGAGAACAATCCTGCCGAGCCTTGAAATTGCGATTAGGGACTCAAAAGACACCGGAATAAAGAGACCAGGATGAAAAGTGACTTTGATTCCAATTGAGCGGCATTTTCCAATGAAATCAATGACTTTTGCGGCAGAGAAATTCCACTGAGTGATGATTAAATCCGCTCCAGCGTCGACTTTCTCTTTCAATCGCTGCAAATCATCTTCAAGCGATGTGGCGAGGAAATGCCCATCAGGATATCCGGCCACGGCGATTGTCGCGTCTGGACGATTGCTTCGTAGCCATTTCACCAACTCAGCGGCATATCGAAACTCCGGAAAGTCATTAGCAGCGTCTAAAGAATCTGCTGAAAGAATTGTTTTTAGTTATCTGGCAGGAAAACTGATGAAAAAGCATTCTTACTGCCTTGATGAGCGAAAAAGCTGTGCAAATTCTCATTTTGAGTGATTCCCATCAAATCTCCCGAAGTCATCTTGAAGCATGTGAGATGAGAAAGAACAGGGAAACTATTCCGAAGCTCTCTTGCCATTTCCAGCGCTGGGCAAACTTCAGGATTGCGTCGAAAAGCCACGAGATTATTGTCTGCAATCCACGTGATGCTGGCGAAAAGCGGCGGAGGACGCAAAGAGGTTAAATTCAGCGGTGGATCCGAAGGTGTGACTTGAATAGTGTAGAACAGTTGCTTCTTTGAGATCTTCTCTCTAATCAATTCCATAAGATTTCTGCTTGAGTTTCCAAAAGGAGAATTTTCTTCATGCATTTTGTGCAATTTTCACTAAACGATATAATGAACAGTTGTGATTAGACGTCAATAGAAACTTCAAATGGATCAAAGTTAGCAGAAAATGAGATCATCCAAGAGTTTGTTACTCTGACAAAATTGTACATTACACTTATTAAAGCTTATTAAACACCCTGTGGACGATATCAACTCTCGGTCAAGCACTTCAAGGTTCATGAGCAAACATTCCAACGGTGTTTGTGAGCGAGTGATAAGAAAGAAGACCTCTAAAATCGTATAATTACTTTAATGTCTCACTTCTCCTGTCTCTCGTGAAAATATTTACAACAATCTCTCTCCGCGCATTAAACTCCATTACATTTTTTTTCATACATCTTCCCTCAATTGGGATAATTTGGGGTGAAAGAATTACACTTAAACACACGCTTTTTCTGTCTTAAATCTCAAGTTGAGGGTGGAAAAGAAACACAACTTGAGGAATCAAATAAGTGCACAACTCTCAAAGTCGCGTCTATCAAAGAAAAAAAAAAACGTTTACAACCACACTTGAAGGAGTTTGTGGAATTTACTACCTATCAAATGTTGTTTTTTTTCGGGGAGAGACTCACAACTTGTACAAAAAAGATGTATTTTATAATAAGAAATTGAACTATCCACTTTGCTTACGTAAATCATTTTTTTTGTTTACTGGAAAAAGATCTCCCGCTCAAGGTGACTTTCTCCACTCTTTCATCGCTCACCCATATTAAATTAACTTATCATTTAATACAATTTAGTCGGTTAAATGTTTCCCCTCTCGCGCGCACGCCTACAATTAGTCATCTGGTTGTCATTTCTTCTTAATCCTCTGTCCAATCCATTCCAGTCCTTGATAGAGTCTGCCAAAGAGAAAGATAGAGGAGAGTAAGGATTAATGACAGTGAGAAGGAGTTAATTGTCCTTCGCGCGAAAGGCCAAACTCACTCACCCTTCGCCAGTGAGAGCGCAGCACGCCTGTATGTGCCATTGGTGCTTCTTGATGGACGTTAAATCCAATTGTCGGGATATTTCTGCGGCACTCATGGAGCCCTTTAAGTCTTGTTTATTCGCATAAACTAGTAAACTCGCCTTGGCCAAGTCCTCATGCTGCAGCATCCGGTACAGTTCCTCGCGCGTCACCGCCAGCCTTTCCCTATCTGTCGAGTCTATCACCATGATAATGAACTGAAAGGGCACAAAAGGGACGCTCTTAATTGATTCAGCCACCATGTGAGCCCTTAAATTCAGATTATCGCACTCTCGCTCTCACTCTCTATCAGTTCAGTGTGGATTAAAGTTTATTTGATTTATTGACAACCATTCAACAGCTTAATTAAAATTGATGAACAAGCCAGAGAACTTTCAAAATGCATTAAATTCTGTATAGAGAGATATTTATATCATTTTACACACGCGCGCACGTTGTGTAAATGGAAAACTCGTCAATGTGTAAACAGACTTTGTCGAATTACAAGATTAAATAATAACACAGCTGCCGTCTTATCTGACCTTTTCCACAAACTAAACTCTGCATGCTTTAAGGAACGTTGAGACACTATTTTCAAGGAGGAAACCTCATTCATTATGTAATTGCATAAAGTATTTAACACACAATAAACATTCTATATTTATAAACAATTAAAAAGACTGCAAATTGTTCTCAAGTCGAACATAATCAACTGCAAATACTTAAACTTTTCCCCCAAGAAGCTTAAGAAATCCAGAAAAACATCTTCATATTTCTTTAACGCTATTTTAATTATGTAATTATAAACAAAAATACCCTGAAAAGCGAAATATCGATCAATAATTTGTCTTAGAATGCCTTCAAAGTGTGATTTAAGAACTTTTTCCAATTTCTCAAGGATTTTCAGCTACTCTATTTCCCCCTTGACTATTTCATTAACATTGATTTGATCAGTTCTCCTCATCGATGCTCTTAATAAACAGCACACAAAGCATTTGCGTCTTATCAGCTGACATTTTCATCCATTGGCATTTCAATTTGCCTATCGAAATCAATAGAATAATTTTGCATATCATCGCCACAAAGTCTTCTCCGTCAGACGCATAGCAATTAAAACATTGACAATTCGCTTAATTATCCTGCTTTAAATATGTAGAATCTGCTCGGTTGCAGAGCACCAACAGCGTCATTCTCACCTCTGTGTTTGTATAGTACGTGCTCCAGGCCGCCCGAAGACTCTGCTGGCCGCCTAAATCCCACACGATAAAGTGAATATTCCTAAAAACGACCTGCGGAAGGTGAGAAAGAGAGACATTTTACAGCAACCAAAGAAAAAAAAACAACGTGTTAAATTTTACAGTCGTCAAATGGATGAGGAAACAAACCTCTTCGACATTGGATCCAATCGTTGGACTCGTATGAACGACTTCATTCATTAGATATTGATAGAGGATGGTCGTTTTACCCGCATTATCCAGGCCAACCATTACTAATTTGTGTTCTGAAAAGACACGAGAGAGAGAGAAAGAGTGAGTGAATTGAGAGCAGAGGGACGCAATAATGGTGGGTAAATTTTATTGTTTTTATCTGATTAAAATATATAGCACATATCTGATCATTTGGAATTCCTCAAGCATGCCGAAAGCCTTTTTCTTCTCCCACACCCAGGAAATCATTCCTCGCTTTTGCCTCTTTCTCTCTTCCCAACAAATACTCACTTAAATATTGATAAAAAATTTCTCAGAGGCCCAGCAAATGATTCACGACTCGACTTCTCACGTTTTTTCCCACACGCTTGAACATTTCGCAAGGTCAAGAGAGATTGCAAGGTATTTAAGTGCCCTCAAGTTCACACTTAAGCCAACTTCTTCAGACAGAAAATCAAATAGAGAACAGAAATCATTCTTAGAGCGAATGAGAGAGAGAGAGTGAATGCATTCTCATTCCCTTTCTTTGAATGGTGTTTAAAATTGTAGAAGAAAAGAGTGATTAAATACGTAAAGTAGTTCAGTTAATTTCATTTCATATACTACAAAAGGGAGTGCAATTATAAACCCTAATCCTGTTATTTAGATCGCTTTTTCACTCAAATTTATTCAAATGATTCAACTTTAAATTAATATCTTCAAATCTCTAATTAAGATCCAACAAAATGCAAAGGAAGTCAAGAAACTTGGCTGCAAATTTAGGACAAAAACATTTTGATCAGTAAAAAAGAGTCAGAATTGTCAATAAATTAAAATTCTATTGACATTGTTTGGAAAGAATAATGAAAAAAAAAATTGCATTGTTCAATATAAGATTTCTGAAACACACAAGAAAACAGCTAAAAACAATTTTCTTCACCTATATTTTCCAATACATTTGCTGTAGAATTTAAATATTATCATTCTCATTATGCATTTTACACTTCCACATGTTGTTTAGCTTTCTCAATGCGGAGCAACACAACATGCTACACTTCCTCCTCAACACTTCTTTCTTTCCAAACCCACCCACTTTCCCATGGCATTGACTTTTTGGCGAAAAAGCCCTCGTGCGACGCGTGATTGGAATATAATTTTTCGCGATATCACGAGTAAAATATACTGCATTTCTCTACGCTATCCAAAAAATCTCATGCACTCGAGAGACATTATTTTTTTCGCCTCTTAAATATGCAAATCATCAACTCAAGGCTTCATTTTTCTGACCCAAAAACTCGCCACTCTTTTTGGCCTCGACGCCCACATTTTATCCGCATTTGGTGCTCTACTACAATTAATTCTGGATATTTTTTTTTGTTTTGGAAATCTTCCAAATTAATGACACTCTGGAGATTGGGAGGGGAAAAACAGACAATTTTTTCCCTCTTTTTCCTCCTCTTTAAATCAAATTATTATGTGGCGACAATGCTTTAACAGCAGTTGGGAATAAACTTGTGCAAACTCTCGGCAAAATACTCTCAAGAGAGTGAGAGAGAGGAGAGACTGGAAAAATACCCAAAAAGCATTTTTGTGCCTCGCGAGAAAGCGTTTTTATCGCTCTTCAACAGTGCAAAAGAAGCGCCAAAAGAACCTCCAAAATTGCTCAGCAGGTGAAATGAAGAGCATCTTCTCAGCCGGCCAATCTCTTGACCTCTCTTGGGCGCACCTGACAAAATTGCTCTCAATTGCCAGCAGATGTTCTTCCCTATGAGCGTTCATGAACTTGGCATCTCCTCTAATTCAATTACCACCGCAGATTTTTTTGAAACTATGCACACGATTCAGCGGCAATTAGCGCAATTTATTTCCCTCCAAATGTGGACACACATAACTCAATTAGCACACGCTTTACTTTGACCCGAAGACGCAAAGGCGACCGAAAATTAATCAATTACACTTATCGTTGTCACTTCTTTAGCATGATTTCCGTTACGTGATTTGTAATTTGAGGAATTTTCTCGAAGGAAATTTCATAAATATTCATCAAGAAGTGTCGCAGAATTTTTCTACATGAAAACCACTTCAAAGTTAGCTTAGAATTTCTCTACCAGATCACACGGTTTTCCAGTCAAATTTCCCCACAACTCTTCAGTCATTTCTCTTATCATTTTGTGTTGATACTGAGTGTTCCTTCCTAATTTATTAGACTGTGTTTTCCACCCAGTGATAAATTAGTCACATTCCGCGAAGAAACGCACTGCGGATTTCTCACAGACAGTCAAAATAAGAAGCTCATACGGGTGGAAAATTGTTAAATACCCAGCAGTTGAGTGATAAAATCTCTATAATCTGTTGTAAAGCAATTTAGAGCAAAAATATCTTGTAACTGAATAAGAATTAAGCCTTGAAATTTTCCCACAAACCCAATTTAATTGATTGATTGATTGATTACCAAACAATCACTATACCACGCCCCGCCTACTCAAAAGCTCCGCCCCTTGTGTATGAAATTGCCTGGAAACTTTCGTGAAACATTTCGGAAAAGTCTGTATTTCACATGCAATTTATTGTTTGTTGACGCCCAAGTGAGACTCAGACAATGAGCGTGGAGAATCCGAAGAGAAATGAACAGTTGGGAGTGAAAAATCTTCACACGCTCTACCAGAGGCAATTCTTCTGCCTCTCAGAGTGTGAATTGGTTAATAAATAGACTGGCTTCTTGGCAAAAACTGCTTCTGTTGCACTTTATGTGTGCCACATTGAGAGGCGCATACTTTGTTGATGGCGAATCATCAGCCTTGCCGTCAAAATACTGTCTTCTGGGGCTCTGTGTAGGCTCTGGTCAGGATATGGGGGTGTCTTGGGACTTCCTGGGAGTGTGTGGATGTCACTGTCTTGCTTACTGGAGCGGGAAATTGGGTGGAAATCAGAGAGAAATTGCAACAAGGCCTTCCCGCCCAAAGGCTGACTGTCTTGGTGTCCCCTGAGCGAGCAAATTGCTTGCCAATTACTGGCCTCTGGCCAGCGAAACGCACGGCAATAAAAATTGAGAGCGAGACCCAAGAGATTGGCTATTAGAAAGTGTTTCTTTGGAGCGCCTCTGGAATGCGCGCCTGACAACTCACCTTCGTTCCCGAAGAGACTCCACAGTTTCGCAAAGAGGAGCCCCATGGTGCACTGCTGGGCCTCCGCTTCCACCCGCTGGTGCTGTGGCACGTGAAAAATGCTCGGATTGTCCGGGGAAAAGGGTGTCTTTCTCTAGGAAAAACCACCACCAAAATGCATCACTTTTTTGACAACACCAACAATGGTCACACAACAGATTTTCCGCGAACACGCACGGAAATCAGGACGCACAACACATCTGTGACACGTCACTGGCACTGCGGAGAGTCCCTTTGTGTCCCTATCACTGTTTCACGCTGGGAAAGCTAATTAAATTTATCAATTATTGAGGAGGCAAAAGTTTCTTGAGAAAATTTTCACTCTCATCGAAATGACACGGGGAGTTTTCGAACTCGAAAAAGGGTTGCAAGAGTTTTTCGGGGTTGCCAAGTGCAAGTGTCAACTCGCTGTCAGCTGCCATGTGGGCATGTCAACAAGTTTCTTGTTTTGATTGAGGAAAAGCGTGAAAATCTCAGAGAAAATAGTGCACAAATATTCGGAAAATGGTGAGAAATTGTCTATCAAACACAACTTCACAGTTTTAAATCATTGTCTCATGGAATTCTCATATTTCCCACTCAGGATTCTGACTTGTTCTTTGTGGACACCAAAGGAGAGAAACCGGAACAGAAAAAGCGCTCAAAAGACAGGAAGATCGTGAAAAACTCCCACGAAAATGTCGTGGTAGAGCATAAAGAGAAGCCTTTCGGGAAGTTCAGGCACAGAGGCAAGAAATCCGGGCAGAAGAGGAAGTTTCCCGGACCGGCGCCCATTGATCCGGAAGCCTTGAGTCGCCACTCTCGCGGCTCCGGAGCGGACGCCTCGGGCGTGGAGACATCCATCCACAAGGCCAAGCTGCGCAGGAAAGAGATCTACTACGAATTCGCTTCGGAACAGGCTGCGCGAGCGGAAATTCTGCTCCCGGAGACAGAAGGCTTCATTGAGCCTGACGAGGACGAGGAGACGGCTGAATACACCCAGGATGAGATTGTGCAGCACGTGGACATCACGGCGGCGACGAAATCTTTTGAGCTGAAGCTGGATTTCGGCTCGTATCGCATGAAGTACACGCGCAACGGCAGGCATTTGCTGCTGGGCGGGCGGAAAGGCCACGTTGCGGCGATGGATTGGGTACGGAAGGGACTGCACTGCGAGACTAACGTGATGGAGGAGATAGTGGACGTCTCATGGCTGCATCTGGAAACGATGTTCGCCGCGGCGCAGCGCCAGTGGGTGCATTTCTACGACAAGAAGGGCACAGAATTGCACTGCGTGAAGCAGTTGCATCGCGTCAACCGGATGGAATTCCTGCCGTATCACTTCCTCCTGGCCACAGTCTCTGACGTGGGCTTCCTGGCGTGGCTGGACGTGTCCGTGGGAGAGATTGTGGGCAAGTACCAGTCGAATGTGGGACGAATTCGCTCGGTGTGTCAGAATCCATACAACGCTCTGATGTGCTTGGGCGGCTCGAAGGGCGTTGTGAGTATGTGGGCGCCTTCGCAGCAGCAGCCCGTGGCCAAGATGCTGTGCCATCCCGCCCCCATCACCGCCATCGCGGCGGACAGCACGGGGCAGCAGCTGATCACCGCCGGCCTAGACAGGAGCGTCAAAGTGTGGGATCTTCGACAGCTCGCCGGTCCGCTGCACATTTACAAGACGCGCACGGCCGTGGAGGAGCTGGCAGTGTCCCAGCGCGGCCTCCTGGGCTTCGCCATGGGCAATGTGGTGGAGATTTACCGGAAGCCCTCTACGCTGACCAATGCAGCGCCTTATCTTCGCCAGCGCGCCGACGGACGCGTGACGGGGATGCAATTCTGTCCCTTCGAGGACGTCCTAGGCGTGTCCACGGAGAAGGGCTTCACCTCACTCCTCGTGCCGGGCTCTGGGGAGCCCAACTTCGACGCCCGCGAGGCGAATCCCTTCATGAGCCTGTCGCAGCGCCGAGAGTACGAAGTCCATGCGTTGCTGGAGAAAATCCCCATGGAATTGATCGGTCTGGATCCCAGTAAGATAGCCGAGGTAGACGTGCCGACGCTCAGGGAGAGAGTGGAGGCCAAGCGAAAGATGATGCTGATGAAGGCGCCCAAGATCAACTTTGAGCCGCGGCGCAAGGCCAAAGGCAAGGGCGGTTCGGCGCAGAAGGCGCGCAACAAGCAAATTGTCCGCGAGACGAAGATCCAGGAGTTCAGGAAGGACGTGGAGAGCGTCAAGGAGACGATCGTGGGCGAAGCTGGCACCTCTAAGGATTTCATTCCGCTGGAGCAGAAGAGCAAGAGCGTCCTGGACAGATTCAGGCCCAAGAAGAAGAACCAGAATTAGAAGAATTGATAATAAAAGGTTCTCTTAACATTGGAAATGTGTCTTGGCTGAGTTTGTGGGGAAATTGCTTAGAGCGCTTTGCCTAGAGCTAGAGTTTGAGGCAGACATAATCCTCAAAGTTAATGACTTCTTAGCATTCTTAACTGTTTAACACCTTTCTTACCCTGAAAAGTATGATTTATTGCTGCTTCTTGTCAATTTCGTCGTCCTTTTGGGCAGTAAAACAACACGTTTACTTGAGACTCGTTATTAGTTTTTATTTATCTCAATTATCAAAATGATGAAATTTCTATATAAAGGTTATTCATCGTGTGTCGTGTAGTAAAATATTAGAAATTTTTATATATTGATACTTTTCCTTCATAAATATTTCATTATTAAATCGTCGCAGACGAAGAAAATCCACCAAAGTCACAATGTTTTACGGAGGAGTAACTTAATCATGATCTTCAGGATGAGAAACCATTTGGAATTCAGGTGTGATTCTAGGAAAATATTGACCTGAAGACTAGACAATGGAAGGGATTCTTTCTTCTTGGACTGTGGTCTGGACTTTCAGCGCCTCGAGTCATTGCATTGAATCGTTAAAAGTGTCAGTTAGAAAAAGATTACTTTCGCAAAATAGAGAGAGAGAGACAAACGATAATTAGTATATCTTTCGTTCACTTTCTGGAATACGTGTTATGCAAAATACACCTCAAATCTTCCACTTTTACACAAAATTGGTCATTTTCCTGCTATTTTCTTTCTTTTCTGCATGACTCTCTCTTGACATTGTAAATTTATATTTTACTTGTTTCATCAAAATATACAAATTGGTTTTTATCCTATTGATTTATTCTTTTAGAATATCCCTTTCACTTCATTCTTCACTGTGGAATTATATGTTTGCTTGCGTGAAGTTTAAAGATTGCAAAACAATAAAAACACACACAAAAGTAAAAAAAAAAATTTGCAGTAGAAATAAAAACCCATAATTTCTTTTTCAATTAAAAAAGATTATAAAATAAAATTGATGGACAAACCGAGCAACAAATTAATCACAGCATTAATTCTTTCGTTCCTTTTGCGGCATTTTTTCCTCCCTCTTTTCCATCTGCATGGCAAGAAAATTCATGTGCGAAGGAAGATTTCTCTTTTTTCTCTACGAAAAATTTGCAATTTCATATATATATATATATCTTCGCTTTAAAACGCGCTTTCACACAATAAGAGAGGTACGAATATATATTTTTTTTAGTCAGAATGTATAAAAAGTACTGAAATACAGCGAATATAGTTTCATGCTTTTCCTACTCAGCAATGAGATTAATGCAAATTGCCTTAAATACTACGGAGACTAAATTTGCGGTAAATCCTTGTCGCCAAATCGCGCCCAAAATGAATACTGTGCTTCGGCTGCGCAAAAAAGGGTTTACGAGTTGGACGACGAGGCCGCCGTCGTGGGCCAGGCGATCTTCGCGTCGATGCGCTTGTAGGCCAACATCCAGTGCTTCCCGCGAGCCGCCAATCTGGCGTCTTGCGGACACTCTGACTCCATCAGGAGAGTCTCTGCGGAGGAAATCACAGTTAAAACAGCGAAAACATTTAGTAATGCACTTCCTCGCCAACTCACCTTCGCCGTCGACCAGCTTGAAGAGCCCGTAATCCTGCGGATTGGTGATCCTCGCCTTATGCGCAATGATGCGACACACTTCTTTGGTGGTTGTGTGAGGACGAACGGGCAGCGTCCTCGTCTGCAGAGATCCATTGTACTCATCCGGAATGATGACACGCAGCACGGACGAGCACGCGGGCATGGCGGAGGATCTCCACTGCAAGGAAGAGAAAAATTAACCCTCCGTTGCACACCAAAAAGTCGAACAAACTCACGTCGATCGTTCCGCACATCTCGTTCTGGCTGTCCTTGAACGTCTTAAGTACGTGCGCCGCGCTGCAGAGCGCCGTGAGATAGTAGCCCGCCTCGCCGCTGAGCAGCGACGGTTGCAGGAGGCCCCACATGAACTCCGCCTCGATCTCGGCGCCCACGAAGCCACTCTTGGCCACCACGTACACCAAGATGGGCAGGAAGTCGTCGGCGCACAACGCGCTGCTCTTCGGCGATCCCGTGGCCTCGAAGATCGCCGACACGGCGGCCAGCAGGTAGTCCAGCTTTTCCAGCGGCTGCTCCGCCTCCTGCAGGCGCTGCAGGATCATCGCGATGTAGCGCATGGAGGCTTCCGACGGCGGCGAGATCTCCTTGCGGATGCCCATGTCGATAGCGCTCTTGCCACTGGCGAAGCGCACATTCTCCACCAGCAGCTGGATGTCGCGGGAGCGCATGTAGTACTCCACGAAGCGTCCGTAGAGATGCTCGCGCAGCGGCAGCACCACGAGGCGCTGCATTACGCCCTCAAGGATGGTGTCGAGGTTGAGAAACTCGTCGGGCTTCAGGCGCGAGCAGGCGCGCTGCACTTCCAGCTGGAAGTCACCCTCGCCATGCTTCACCAGGTAATTCTTCATGCCACTCATGAACTGCCGCATGTTGCGCATCACAATTTGCGGCGCCGCCTCGCGCGATTCTTTGGTGCAGCAGATGAAGTTCTCGATGTTGCGCGCGAAGGTCGAAGTGGGATCATTGGCCAGGCTCATGGCGTACGCGCCCACGGACTCTCCAGGGCCTCCGGAAGTGGTCTTGTTCCGCGGGTGACCTGCAAAGGCAAGAAAAAACCCACATTTAGCCATCATTGCTGAAGATCATCGTTAGAAAACCATGCACATTCAATTTCCCAAAATATTTAGAGATCTTAAACAATTGATAGATAATGACCTTTTTAATGCTGATAAAATGATTTGAGAAAAATACCGGAAAGACACAAATTCAAAACCTTAGAATTTTCCTTTGACAACCAGAGAATTTCCTTAATTAAAACTAATGAAACGACCAAGTGAAATGCGTTAGAGAATGGAGAATGAATGATGGAAAATGCGCCGAAAAGTCAGTTTGTAGTAATAAAAGCAAGTACCACGGAAAAGTTCCTTGAACTTCTTCAGTTTCTCTGACAATTTGCAGCTGAACTTCTCCTTCAGCCACGCCTTGAAGCGCTCCATAGCGGTGGGATTCAGCGGATCCTTTCCTTTGGGCACATTTCTGAACTTGCGCGACATCTTGCCATGACTGAAGCCACAATAGCCCTGATGGACAACGATGTGATCGAGATTGATGAGAATGCTGCCGCTGTCGCTGAGTCCGAAGCCCAATTCGATATCCTTAGCCGTGAGATCCTTCTTCACCAGGCGATTAATGGCGCATGGAAAGCCGCTGGATTGGTGAAAGACCACAGGAACGACCAATCTGGCCTTGCTGAAGTGCTCCTTCTGAGCTGAAATGCTGTTCTGAATGGACAGAAGCTGCTCAAGGCGATAACGCTCGATGGCGTCGACATCGTCAAGCTCACCCTCAAGATCATATTCTTCATCATATCCAGTGACAGCGCTGCACGTGGGCTTGTGCGCGCTCTCCACCACGCCGAACGCCTTCTCGTCCAGGCTGCGGTCGATGGGATAGCCCAGCGTGCAGCTGTCCTCGAACAGATCGCTGGAGTAGTTCAGGCGATCGTCCACAAAGGGCTGATCGGCGCCCGCGAACACGCCATCCTCGTCCGTGTCCGAATCGTACAGCGTCAAATCCACCACGGACGGAGGCGCCTTGATGACCTCGAAGCCATCTAGATCCACATCCGAGTCCTCCTGCAGATCACTCACGATCACCTCCCAAATCCTCAGCATGTACACTTTCTGCGTCATGGGAATGCCTTCGATGTCCTCCGGCCATAAATATCCCCTGGACTCCCAAATGCGGCGATCAATGAGACTCGCCAGGCTCCCCACCTCGCGAATCCTGTTCGCCCTGATGCGACGTTCCACGCTGATGCGATCATACTTGCTGTCCTTGCGCAGGATCGACTTCAGCGGATGACTGCAGGACGGCCTGGGCTCGGCGCGCGCACTCTTCTCACACGGATTGAGGTCAAAAGTCACTGAATTGATGCTGCCACTCGCCTGGGCGGGACAATTAACTGGGCTCGCGCCTCTTTTTCGGTATAATCTGGTGAACCACTTCATGATTGATGGAAAAGCGATTTTTACCACGCAGCACAAATGTACGGAAATGAAAGTTTCTCATCGGCACACAAAGTCTCTCTGCCACCCAAAATCTCTCTCACTCCTCCACTCAAGATTGTCCGCCAAGTGCTTGCAAAATGCGCCACTTCGGATCAGTCATCGAGACTTGAGAAAAAGACCCCAAAGATAAGGACACCACAAAAACCATCTGACCACTGCCACTGATTCACTGTGAATAAGCTTTTGCCTAGCTCGTCGTTCAGTATTTCAAGACTTTGCCTCTCTCTCTCAGCCCAGTATGCATTATCAGGATTATCTCTCAGTCGCTCGCATTTTCCCACTCTCGTCGACTCTTCGACGATCATATTGTCGCATTCCAAGTATTCTCTATCCCTTCCTGGACTCTTCTGGTCCAGGTCAGAAAATATTTGTCCACCAATGAACCAACAATAACACAAAACAGCGCCCAACAAATCTTCCTCTCTCTCTCACAACACAGTCATTTCGCATGCCAGGCAAAGAGAATCAATCTTATGTTATTTGTTGTCGAATCATAAGGTCATTATCTAACAAATTGTCATGAATCTCCCCATTAAACTTGATGGAGAGATTTTTCCCGCGCTCCCAATAAGTGTGCACTCGATGATGCCACTATCAATTCATATTACATCAGACTGGTCACACTTTGACTCTCTCTTCTCTGCGATCTCGCCGCCCGACAAACTAGGATAAATTCCCCGTCAAATGCGCTCTGCAATTTTGACCCACTTTGCGATTTTGAGCGCGCAATTCGCACTGGGAATGCGCGTCAACTTCCATCGAGGACAAGCAATCGAGACTCATCCTGCTTTCCGCATTTGATCGGGATTATTAGTGTCATTGAATGACTCATCGTGAGTGAGTGGAAGGCAAAAGGTGAGGACAAATTGTAGATTGCTCGATGATTAAGGATTGAACTAAAAATTCTATGAAATAAGTTTAAAAATAAACCATTCAGAACTGAATACGCGACAATAATTATCTCTCTGTCTTTGATTTCTAATTTCACATTTTCTTTAAGTGCATAAATCGACAGAATTGAATATAGATTTTCCCATAATCGATACGGTTAAGAAAATTTAACGTATTTGGCAAGGTTTTAGTGGAGAATCTCAATTAAGACTGTCAGCAAATTAAAGACGTGTTAAATGCCAGCAAAATCTTCGAATCTCACTTCTGATCACATTAAAGAGAATGATCAAAAAGCAAAGCTGTGCGCCGAAAGCAACCCGACCGAGCGGATAGTAAACAGTGTAAGAGACATCTTAACAGACATTATGAGCTGATCGAGAGGCATCAATGCAAGTTCCCATGATAAGCCACTCCACACACAATCCTTATCGCGTCGGAAGAATGCTTAGTAGTAATGAATGAGAGTGTCTCTCTCCTTTGCCGCGACGCATATTCAAAGTTCATCGCCGAAGCGCAATTCCGTGTGGCCAGACACAAGGAAGATCAACGTGTTTGCCTAACTGGCGAGTAGGCCCGGCACTCTGGCTCCACATAAAGATGATTTAGTCGTGTGTGACAAAGATACTCACAGAGAATCTCACGATCGCGGCAACTGCGACTGCGGAATATCGTGGCCACTTTGGCGGGCTGCTTCTCTCTTTGTGACGCATCCTCCACCAGGGTATCGTCCTCCTCGTGACCCAGAAGAGCGCGGCACTTGGACAGATGAATCGAGTCCGAAGCGTCTGTGTTGGCAATGAGAAGCGCTTGGTCAGAATGCAGTGGAAGCGATCAAGGGGGAGATATTAACATTAGCCTAGCTTCTTTCAATCACTCTTGGGGACATTTTGCCATGGAAACTTATACAATAGAGTTAGTAATTGATTAGAAGTTCATCATGAATCAATTTTCAAGCAAATTCTTACAATATTTCCCCACAAATGGATGAAAAATATGCATTTTAGAGGCTTTTTGGGGCTTCTAAAAGTGCTTTGGAAGCAATCAGGGCTGACTCACCGTCGTGCGGCAGGAAGGAGTCCCACTGTGAACTGTCCCAGGGCTCCGAGAAGACCGTCCCGTCGTCCGACTGGGCGCTGTCTGGACACAGCAGCGAAGACGTCGCGCCGCGCTCCACATTGTCATAGGCGGAGATGCGCTGTCGCCTGGTGATGGTGCCGTTGACCACGCTAGACTCCGGAGTGGGTGAAGAGCATCTGCAAGAGGATTGTCTGAAAATTTTCCGCACACTTATCGCCCCAATGTTTCTGCACAATTTCGGCAAGACTCTCTCTGGGCGAATTTTGGCGATAATTTGTCGTGCGTTCATGATAGATAGATTTGCATGCAATGCCGTTGAATGTATTTAAATATTTACGATCGAGAGGAAGAGGCGGAATTGAAAATATTTATTCTATTCACACTGTAAACAGAGATCTTTTAGGGCGCGCGAGCGTGTATGCATTTGGAAAAGGGTGGAAAATGGAAATATATAGGATTCCACGCGAGACAAGGAAAAAATAAACAATCCCAACTATTTCAGTAAACATTACCTTATCTGTTCTGGGAGATTCAATTCCGGCATCCGCGTCGCGATGATCTGATGAATGGTCAGTGGCCTGACTTTAGGCTCCTTCTGCACCTCCGGTGGCTTCGGCGGCTGCACTTGCGGCTGCGGCGGAACGCTGTCTCTCCTATAGCTCGTCCTCCAGTTGAGATCCGAGTCATAGTCGTTGTCATCAGCGTCATTGCCCACAAATTCCCAGCTGCTGTCCAGCGGCCAGGGATCCAGTCTTCCACGCGCCTTCCTGTTCCTCTTCTTCAGCTCGTCCAGCGATCCCGCCAGCGGATTTCGCTGCATGGCGTCTCCTGGCGGAATAATCGCCGCTAGAGCGCTGCGGAAGGGCCCTTTTGGCGGCTCCGAGAAGCGCTGGCTGCTGGGAATCTGAGAGCTTCTGTTGCTCCGCCGCGTGATGTTCTGCACCGAATCCACGGGTTCTGAGTAAAACGGGCTGCCTTGCTTGCTCCTGCCCGCAGGAGTCGCAGGATCTTCCAGCTTCGGCGGTGTGCTGGTCAGCACGAGACCCAATCGATTGCGCGGCTGCAGCATCGGATCAGCCTCGGGCGTTTGTGACTGAGTCTTGTGGTAGATCCCGAAACGCTGTGTTCCCTCCTTCGGATTGGCCAGATGCGCCACCAGGGAGTCATTCTCCAGGAAGCTCGTGCGCTCCGCAGACTCCTGCTGAGGACACAGAGGAGCCGCAGAGTCCGTCTCTGACGGCGGTTTGGGCGGGGAATTGTTCGACGAGGCGATAGATCCGGTGGGAGACAAGAGATTCCCATTCAAGGACGTCACGGTGGCTGCAAGGATGAGAAATCGGTCATTTTAAGGAACTAAACAAGTCAGAAATACAATTCTTACGCGTCTCCGCCAGGAGATCAGGCCTCTTGCCGTGACTCTCAGGCCTGAAGCTGGACATGTGCGATCCTCTGAGAAGATGCGGATTCCCATTGTTCTCCTGCGTCCAGATATCCTCGTAATCACTTATCTTGTCGCCCAAGGCACTCCTGCAGTAGATCGAGGGTGACTCCAGGATGTCCGACTCTTGGTAGTGCTTGGACTCCTTCTTGGCCTTGCTGCGGCGCATTCTCTGGCCATTCGGTGTCTCCGCTAGACTGGGCGACACGGCTTTCCGATTGCCACGCGCGGAGTCCCTGCTGAGATTGCTGAGCCACCTCTTGGAGTCCAGCGTCGACATGGCATCGCCGTTCTTGTGACACTCGCCCTCAGGCGACAGTCGCTTGGAGATTGTCTGGAACTGCAGCACGTCCTGCAAGAGAAACACCCGTCAATCCTCAATACCACAAAACCATAGAGACAAGGAAACACTCACGCTCGTCGTTGGGGAGGAAATCTCTACAATCTGCGGACTCTGCGCTTTGGCGCCGCTCTCCATGCTGAATGTGACTGTCGTGGTGACTGTGAAGTTGTTGGCCTGAGTCTCTAAGGTCGCCTGGTCAGGACTCACAGTCGCCACGGGCTTGGACCATCGCGGCGGTGGCGCTGGAGGCGTCCTCAGCGGCCCCAGATTCAGTGTGTTCGGCGGAGTTGGTCTGGGCGCCCGGATTTGGCCGCCGGGAAATGATTCCAATGCGAAAGCTCCGGTTTTCTCTCCTTGATCGATCAGCTCGGGCGTCCTGGCCATGGGAACTGGAGGTGTTCTCTTCAGCTGCGACTTAAATGTGCTCGTCTTGCCCACAATACCAGACCGACAAGACTCCACCGGTGACATGGTCAGCGCGACGCTGTCCACGGACTCGGGGCTCAAGAGTTGGTGGCCATTGCTGGGCGTAAAGCTGCTGAGACTAGAAGACGTGTCGGAAGGCGTTTCCACTTGACTGCCGGGACTGAGAATGGACGTCTTGAGTGGCTTCGGCGGGTGTTTCTGGCTCACGGACGAGCTGAACACAGTCACGCCCACGCCCGACGAGTCCGTGGCGGCCGACTTAGGATCCACTGGCGTTGACGCCTGACTGCCTGGCTTCGGGCTCGCCATTGGGTAGCGCCAAAACTCCTGGCCGAGCAGCGCCAGCGAGGACAGCTGCTGCCGATTCCGGGCCTCGCGCAGGGCGCGCGGCAGCATCAGCTGCACGGGCAGCTCGTCACAGCACTGCGCATAGTGCGCGATCAGGGCGGGAATTGAGTCGAACTTGAAGCGAGAGCTTTCCAGCGACAGCACTCCACTGTCCGACTGGATCAAGTAGTGCTCAATGTAGGGCCCAGTGTCCGGCGGAAGACGCACCGACACCGCCATGGTGTTGGCCTGACTTGAGCCGCGCACGACAAAGTTCTGCAAGAGACAAGATTCAAGGTTGTACTTCGTGGATAAAACAAATCCCATTAACTCAAAATCCCCACACAATTCTTCTTCCAAACCCTCCACATAAAAACACCCCCTCGAACAATTGCCTCGTGAGAGGATGAAAAATTGGAAAAGGGTTAAAAATACACCCCAGGAAGATTGGACTTCTTGTTCGGCTCTCCAATATCACCTGTTTTTTCAACAGCCAAGAGGGGACTTTCCGTCTCACTCGACTATTTATCTTGTGCACAAGTCAGACCCAGTGAAATAAATGGTGCGTGAATTTTTGTCATTAAAACCGAATTCCCCGACACTTTTGGCCCCTCCTCGACCAACTGACTTCTGTGGCTTCGCATGCACAATGGTAAAATGTCATGAGCGGAATTCCTGTGCAGCGAATGGCGCAATTTGACTTTTTCGCCAAGACTTTGTATCATTTTATTTGTAGTGAATTATGTGACGATTATTATTCAGTTGAATGTCGATTTGTCATCAATATTTCAACATTTAAATTAATCATTTTTAATTCAAAACCGTAAAAATCCCTTTGATTCACCAAGTTTAAGCTCAAACTCCATCCTATAATGTTAAATTAAGGCACACTTGAAGTCTCTTTAACAAGATTTCAACTCTTTCTCTCGGAGAACATTCATTTGTGTACATATACACGATATGTAATCCCGAGTCGTTGCACTTCCTGGAGCACGAACGAATACACAAGCAGGAAAATCCGATGGATACCTATGTATAATGAAAATTGGAAAGTTTCCACCCCATCAAAAGAATTTTAATAAGAGTGCAATGCACTCACGTTGCTCTAAAAAGTGCACGGCGAGCTTTCGTGCTTTGGAAGTATTCCAAACTACATACAATCGTGATTGGATTCACCATTCGACTTTTGGGTTCTCCGCCAGGCGAAAAGCTCTGCCCGCATCTGCTAATTTGCTCTCCTGAGCATGTCTTTTTTCCTAGGCGCGAGAGAGCATGAGGCTCACAGAATATTTAATACCGGGCGGTGGGTGGCACTTAATGGAGGCATTTGACAATATGTTTGCCGGGCCGAGAGGCAAAATGTATGCAGATTGGTAAACCGATGTAATCAGAGCTCCATGTTTTCACGATAATCCAATTCTCCCCCCATCGGCGCAAGTGTGATCAGAATTGTAAATTTTCACTCTTGGTTTTTGTGTGACGCAAAATGAAATATCATGTGAAGCCTCAAATGAAGAGCGCCTCTTTTTCAGCCTGACTTTCCTCACAATACCACACACTAATGGATTCATTTCCCCAACTCTCACTCTCTCTCTGTCCACCGTTTGTTCTGCTCTTCCACGTGAATTAACACACCGCACGCAGAGTTTTCAATCCTGGGACAATTTGCTAAATGTCGAGGATTCACCGGGAGGAAAGCCAGTGATTATTCTGAAACAAGTATTTTATTCCCCGAGTGAGAGAGAGTAAAATTTTATGTTTATTGCCTTCTGGTCGCTTTTCATATGCTCCATTTCATTTACGATCGCTATTCAAGCGACGGAGAATCATCAGGTCTTTTCCCGCGTTGAAATGGACTTTTTATGGGAATTATTATACTTATATGCCCGGATATCAACTTGCTGGCCATTTGGTCAATCGCACAGAATCTCAGCACTCAATCGTCCAATGACTTCTTCAGCCAAAATAACTATTAAGGGATGAATGAGTGTCATTTGACACAGGAATATTATCTTGAGTGGCAAATTTTGGAAAAAGTTTTACAACAAATATTAAGAAAAGAAGTGAATTTTAGTGTGTAATTCAACACACAGTTCATAATATTCCTAGAAGATTTTATTTTTGATTTTATTCGATCCTCAGAAGCATGCATTGAATAGCCAACAGACGCTCAGTAAGCTATTAAAGCCAAAGTTTACTCGAGATTCAACCCTCTTCAGTCTGTCACTGACATAAACTCTTGCATTCAATATTAAGAGACGCATCAGATATCAAATAACTTACAGCCCTGATAAAATGCAAATTAATGCCACTCGAGTGAGTGCGGAATGCATGAATTTTCCCGTGAAAACTGAGCTCATAATCCCGGAAGGATTTTCAAGACAACTCTCGCTGAAGAATTAAACATTTCATTTTGCGCTAATTCTCCTCTTTTTGCACACCACTTTTTCGTGCCTGGAAAACGAGCAAGTCTGCTGCTGAATTCTCAGAATTCACTCAATTACAGTGTGCTTCTGACCACAAGAAAGCCAAGAAGAAGAGAAAAAGAAAAGAAAAGTGTGTGTGGAAAAGAAAGACGCATTAGTGGCTTGAGGAAATGTGATCTAGGATGGAGTGAGATTAACCACCCACTTGTAGTCGTGATAATGAGTAGAAAACACATTGGGAACGACCGAAAATGACGACGATGAGGGCAGGAGGAGGCGAAGAAAGGCAGTTTTTCTTTCCCCATTCCAACAAACATCGCGCGCATTTTTCCATCAGTCACATCTGTTTTGGAGGGCAATAATTTCTACGATTGTTGGCACCGCGCGTCGCTTGCATGGAACGTGATCAGAACTGCAATTCTCTGCCCAGCCAGAGAAGGAATAATAAGAGCTGTTCTGATGTCTCACACATTTAATAGTTTCCCCATGTTGCAACATTCCTTTTCTCTCTCTTGGCCTCTGTGATGTTTTGGCAGCACAATTAAAAAGCTCTCCATCGCTCTGGACGCGCGCATTCCCCAAAGAGACGATCTAATTAAGTGGAATGGAATTGAAATTGACACATGAATTTGAGAGTCTTCCCGCTGTTCCCCACACATTCCCCAATCATTACTGGCAATTAATGAAATATTAATGGATTTCAGGAGGGCCAAAACATGTGTCATTCGCCTGAATAATTCATTCAAGTTTTCCCTGGAATTTCACGTGGATTTTCCACTGAAAGGCATTATTTTATTCACACATAAAACACACACACACACACACACACGCGCAAAGCTTAATTGTGCCCCAAACCGCCGCCCTGAACACCATCGGAGTAATTTGAGGAGATGACTGTCGTTACCAATAATGTCGCTGCTCTCTGTGAGAATGTCGGCCCGAGAGGCATTCGCATAAAATAAATTCTTGGCATCATTCAGTCTGCAGATGACTAATGACGGCCTGTAATTCTCATGGAGAATCGCATGCGAATCCCGAGTCAAAAGTTGGTGATTCACATGAAGAATTCCCGAGCGAAACTTCAGAAGATTTCCTCATTTGCCAAATAGTTTTCCGCAGTGACGTCAGCGCCATCCCTTTACTTCTCTCTCCCTCTTTTGCTGTCTTTCCCGTATAATAAACTGTCGATAGGGAAAATATACACACAGGGAGACAATGTGGATTTAACATCACCCTCTGCTTTTCATCCCCTCTTGTAATTTGTGCCATGGAGGGATTATAAAATACACTGACAAGTGATTTCAGAGGGTGTTTTCTACCGTAGCAAAAATCCATCTCGCCTAGAGTGTCTCTCTCTAGCGCTCTAGCAAATAATTTTTCCAGCCTTTCACTGCTGGTTCAATTAATGTCCCAAAACTCGTTTCAAAACACCGCGCGATGGAAGCAAAAACAGGTGTAAATTAAGCACTTTCCCTCATGACCACTTTCTTTGCCTCTTGCAGATAAGTCGCATTTCTCTACCCGTAGAGAATTCCCCCCAAACAGCGGCTGCAGCAAGAGGGGCCAAAGATAGGGGCGATTTTGGGGGGTGTGAATATAAAAAATCACTTACTCCTTCCTCCTTGCCCTGGAGCAGATGCACCGCTCCGGCTCGCTGGATGCCGGGCAGGAACCACACGGGATGAGTGCGCAGGAGGCGCTCCACGAGGCCCAAGTCGCAGGGTGGGCTCGTGGAGCCGCCAGACGACTCCGAGGACGTCTCACCCTCGGCCAGGATGCCGCCATCTGAACTTGACACCAGCGATGTACGTGACTGCAAAGCAGAGAAGGGCGCATTAAAGGGACGTTAGCGTGCCGCTCGTTTTTTCATATTTATCTACGTTTGATTTCGCGCGATACTCAAGCGGTTGAAGCGCGTGAATTTGCCAAATCACTCAGAGCAAGGGGAAGATATTGTAGTCGAATGAGGTGCACAAACTCAGTAGATATCTTAGGAAGTTTGATTTTATTTTGAATGAATTAAAAGTCAATTTTACTGACTTTTTTCTTAGGTTTTACAGGAAATCCGTAGGAAATTCGCATGATTGTGAAATATCTGATAAAAACCCAATGAAATCTAGCATAACTTCAAAAATATAACTTTGAAATGTCAGAATATTGGTTCAATGACACTGATTTTCTGATAAAAAATCATTTTCTAACTTGATTTTTCATTGCTTAAACGATTTCTTAAAGAAATTCATCAATTCAGGCAATTCTTTCAGGCCTAGTTTTAAAGACAATGTGACTGTGATGAGTACTTGCCCGCCTTGACTGAAATGGTGAGGGAATTTATTCACTCAGAGAGCTGGAGTATCATTTTCCTGGCGGTCAGGAATTCACCTGCAAGTCACCCTGGTTCAGTGTCCGGAAGGAAAAACCTCAGCCTTAAATAGAATTTGCGCTGAATCATAAATCAACCCCTTCAGCAGTCTGCATAAAATCACCATAACTTCATTTACTGGTGAATCGCTCCATTGCTTGCGGGAGTGTTATATCAAATTCTCACGTCTCATTGCAATGGTTGATTTAATTATGCACTGAAAGTGGAGCTTTTGCTTCAACCCTCGCGCGCGCATTGGTCATGATTTTAAATTACATTTCTCTCGCATCAAAACTCCTCTTTTTTCGGGCAGAGACATTTGAATAGGTTGTGCGAAATGAAATCAAAATAAAAAGCCTCTTTCTCTCTCAGCCCTCGAGGCACTTTCAAGGGAAGCTGCTTTGCATTTCAGAGGCACCGGGAAAATTCCACGACACACACAAATGATTCTCTCTCGCCCTGCTTTTGGGGCGCGCTCAGAAGGAAAGGGAAAATTTGCGAAAAGTGAATTTTAAAATGCCCGTCGGTTATTCTGTGTGCACCCTTCAAAAGGCACTGCGAACCCCAAAAGGGTCAGTCAATGCCACAGAAGTTGTCTGGAAAGTTGAAGTTTTCCAAAACACTCTTCAATTCGCACTTTATTCTCTCTTTGTTTATGGGAATTGGAAGACAAATTCAATAAAACCAGAGTATTTTGCGCAATGATTGAAATTCACACTCATAAAACACACACACGGAACAGACGTGATAAAGTGTAAATGTCTCAATTTCCGTGGAATTGCGTGCCCCTCAACAAAAAAAACTTTTCTCACTATTTAAAATTCATTGCAATAAAACTCGCGATTAATTGATTTGTGTCTGCCAAAAGAGCCTCCGCTCTTGCACAATTTCCTTCACGAGGCCCTCAAGAGTGTCTCTCGAGAGTCTGGCCATTAAATTGAGACTATCGAGTGTGTTTGGCTCAATGAATTGTCCATAAAATGGTGAGTGATTCGATTTTCTCGCCTCTCTGATTTAATTACAAACCACACGAAAATTGCGAGAGACTCTTTTGGCTTTTGGCAATGTTTTTCGATTGAGAGAGAACAAAATTGTAAAAATTCCACCCGTTCAATTTGTCTGTCTCGAAAGATGAAGTTTCGGGGCGCAAAAACAGTGCAATTCGATTGGAGCAAGTTGCACAGGAGCAAAAAAGGGCAGCCAGTCTGTGAACTAAAGACATGGACTTTCCAATCCAATTTTACACTCATTGCATTTCAGTGGAGTTTGTGAGCCAGGCCGGATTACTCGCTGTGTTTACAATTTATATAATGTAAAATCCGTAATATGTTTTACAGACGTGGCGATTTTCCACCACTTTATATTATCAAAAAATCCCCTCAAACCCCCTCAGAGTTTCGACCTCTTCATGCACTTCCTTACTAGCCACGGAGGGAAGCTTTTGTGGGCGCTTCGCTGAGTGTATTAAATTGAATTTAGAGAGAGCGAGGTGAATTCATACCTGACTCAGCTCATCCCTCGACAATCGGCGCGCCGCTGGCGGAAGCAGCGCCTGAAGATCGTCGTCGCCATAGCCTCCGTTGCCACTCCCCACGGCGCACTCATCCGGATCCAGCGAGCCGAGAGTAAATCTCTTGTTCGATCGCGAGGGTTGAATGGCATCAGACCTGCAAAGAAGAGGGTCGGCAATCAATAAAAATTACTCACAATGCTCACACATTCAAATGGCTTCAAAGGCATTGGCCAAGGGGAAGATTGTTGCCCGAAATCTGTACACCTTTTCTCCTTTCTTCTTCAAATTTGCATAAAGGGAATCTAAAAGAGTTCAGAAACAGCTGAAGTGCTCCAGAGAATACTTAAAAGTGGGATAAAACGTTAAAATATTGAGTTAAACATTATCATGACGATCAGTTTTTAAACTGTTTAAGATTATTTGCGAGAAACTAAAGTTAAACGAATTTTGCAGCACTTGTTCAAACCTAATATCTTTCCCTTGGAAATGCCCTCGAGATTCTCTTTGATATTTCAATTCACAAGACCAGAAGCCCTGCCGTAGAGCGACTCAGATTCGAGCAGTCTTTTGACGGCGCCTCGCATTAATATTCATATTTATGTAACTCAAATTGCCTGTACAAATAAGGTGAAAAAGTAACGCGAGCGGCATCGAATCTCCTCATCTTGAACCGGTATTTTGTGCATGGAAGTGCGTGAGAAGACCTTTTAATTTCTCCGATTTGACCACACTCTTTGGCTCTCGGCTCTATAATTTTCACGCTTGGCCGAGTGCAGCTCAATGAATCTTCATTGCAAGACATTCCATGCACATAAGTTCAATTAAATATCTCGCTGGAGGTCAATTGATGGGGGCAATTTTGATTGTTCGATTACCTTCGGTTAACAACAGTTGGTCGCATATTTGACTGTATCAAACAAATCTTAGAGAGAAGTTGGATTTGAACTGGCGAGGAAAGTTAAACAATCGTCCTGAGCAAACAATTAAGGATCTTGCGAAGAACTTTTCCATTTCCTTCCGGATCCTTCACGTTCTTCGCTCCGTTTCACTTTAAATCTTTAAAGTGTGATTAAACAGTAACGAATTAATCCTGGCTGTGATGACAAATTGTTTGTCCAAATCTTATGTTTATCTGCTTCAGTTAAATATTCACTGACCAATATTTGCAGACATGAATATTTCTGATTATATTTCCATAGCATTATTATTCGAATCAATAAATTTTATGATTTTCTGCATAACTTTCTGCGTCTTCTCAATGTATATTTTTCCTTTTTCTGAGAATCCACTCAAGCACAAAAATACTCTCCAATCACTCCAAAGCACATACAAATTTAATTGCAATGTCGAGCAAAGAAGGAATCGCACGAAGAAAAAAGCGGAACTCAAGCACTTTCTGAAGGTTGTGAAAAGAAATTGCCAAATATCCTCATGGCCACGTCAAAGGTTGAATTTCGAGGAGCAACACGGGAAACTCCCACCCTCGCAATTTCACCCATATTTCATCGGCAAGACGTCGCTTTTGCGTGGAAAACTTTCAAGTGCTTGGCAGAATTTGTTTGCGCACGAATGAAAATATTTATAAGATTGCACCTGTCTGTCCAAATTGAAGACACGCTGAGGAAAAACACACTCACCGCCGCTTATAAACAATTTGTTGGGCAGGATTAACGCCGCGGCGGCACGATTTGTTCGTCGGCGGGCGGAAAGTGCACCAGCCAATTTCCCTGTCGCGCCATCCTTGTCGCACTCGCAGCCGGCAAACGGCCACTTTCCCACCCGGCTCACGTCTGTCGCCATGGCGACAATCTATCAATGAAACTGATGCTGCCAAGGAGCGCCTCTCAACCCAGCGTCCGCAATTTGAATGGGCGCCGGAGAAAAACGGCTTCCTTGGGATGCGCTGAGCGTCCCGAAAATTGCCCAAGACATCCCCGTTAAATCACCGTTTGTGCTGGTGAGCAATTTTTGAAAAAAAGAACGCCAAGTGTGCAAGCAGAAATGCTGTTCTCTTGTTCCGCCACTCGTGCTGGAATGTCGCGCGGGGGCGGCCAGAGAGAGAAGGGTGTCCATTAGGAAGATGATTTTCATCATCAGAATTCACTGCCATGTTCTCCACTCCCCAAGAGATTGACCCATTTGTCATGAGGCTCAATTTCTCGGTGACTTCTTCGCCATGTCATCCGACACCCATGGATAATTACGGCTCCATCACGAGAGTGGATTTTCGTCCTCCAGCGTCTCGTATTCACACTGCGTTCCATCGTCAGAGATGGGCTCTTCTTGACCACATTGTGTCAAAAATCCCTCGAAATCTTCCGATAAAGTAAAAAGTCATTAGCTTAGCTTCTGAGAAAGGTAGAAATACACATTTGTGATCATATTTTACAGCCATGGAAAAGCTTTTTAAAGTGAAAAATTTCATCTTCAGTCTCTCAAAAAAAAACCTATCAAAACATGGAGGGAAAAAATACTCTTATCTTTATGTCAATCGAATTCGAACCTGCGACTCTTGGATTACGACATCCAACATAGTCCAATCAATTAAATTCAAGACTTGAAATCGTATAAAAAGAATTATTTCTCGTTAATCACACTGATTTGAAAGCTCTTGTGCAGATTGGTTGCAATTTAATTCTCCTCCGCAATAACAATCATTTCAGCTTCTCAAGTGTCCAAATCAATATCTGACGGCGTAATAAAACGCTTCTGCGAAATGTCTGGATCATTCCTTGCACAGTGCGAAGGCACAGAGACACAATGATGGTGATTAAAATCAATTTTCACCATTCATTCGCCGAATTAATGCAATTACCGAGTAGCTCTTTGCCAGATGATTTCCCTGCACTAATTTCGCTCTCCTTGCAATTTAATTCAATTTCACAATTACATTATAGTTTGCAAGAAAGAGTGTGAGAGAGAATCTTCCCATGGAGTTTAGTGTTCTATGTGCATAATTAAGTACACGAGGCAGCGAAGGTGAGATTCTCTGAGGAGGTGCAAGAATAAATCCATCGCAGAATCAATTGCCATCAAAACCCCATCATCGTGAGCGCATAATTTTTCTCGTTACCATGCGTGGCTTAAGGCATGCGCGAACAGATGGCAAAGTGGCGAATCTATATACGTGGAAGAGAATTGAATTGCAATCAAGTTGGACGGAAAACCACCACAAGACATCCATCTGCCGTTCATCGCAAACTGTTACATGATCTCTTGGCTCTGCAGATGATTTTCCGGCTGGACGTGAACACCTCCGAACGTGATTACGCCCACGTGCACACAATGCAGCACTTTCTGTGCACCCACATGAACTCTGAAGGGCTTTTGGCATGAAGGCAGCTCAATTTTACAGTTCACTTCAGGCGAAAGACAGTGTGGATAGTTTTTGTACACCACTTTCATAAATTCTCTGCAATAATTCTTAAAATAACTCCTTTATAAGTGTGAAATTTTGAAGGTTACTTTTCGACAAAGTCCCTCTTAAATTGATTTTGTTAAAGAAGGATCTTTAACACTTCCCGCTAAAATGTACACCACATTTCCTATCAAATCTCCCTTCCTAGGTTCATTCCCTCGTCGATTTGCATCACTTAATGTGAATGGGAGTAGCTGGAGAATGTCAGTCTCTCCTTAATCTCTTACCACAGTTTGCACACCATCAAATGACGTTGTGAAATGTGTGCATAAGTAAAATTTCAAAATATTGACGGATGGATGGATAGATTTGTGTGTCGAGAAGGTAAAAGTTTATGCGCGCATCGATGAAAGTTTGAAATTACAAATTCAACCAGCAATAATCATCTTCTGAGCGGATTAGGAGGAAAAGGCAGAGAGTTGCCCAGGAAAAATCTCTCTTATTTTCTCGAACAATTAAACATAAGTCTCTGGTTGTCTTTGTAATTGAATTTCTGTGGTGGCGCAGAGAAGAAAGAAAGCACGAAAAAAGAGAGTCCATTAAAAAGAGATCCGAGGCATAAAATCTCATTTGACCATCATCTCGCTGGTCGAAATGCACGAGAGTTGTTGTGTTTTTTGAGCCTATAATTGTTGCTTATTGCCAAGACATCAGCACAAGTTTCAGCGAAGGTGAACGAGGAGAAGTCAGCTTTTTTGCCCAGCTTCTCTCATTCACAACCTATTGAATCATCGCGCGCGTCCAGGCAAAATGCGGTGTGAAATGATCTCGTGATGCTGGGCAAAAAAGCCCGCCTCATTTGCCCAATTATGCCGCGAGATGCGCGCGCGGGGGGAAGAAATGGAGTCAAAAACTGATGTTTACAGTGGCATGAGATAGTGTAAATAGTGTTCCCAATTGCAAGTACCTTCTCCTCAACTTCCCTTTCCACTCGCTCGCCAGAGTTGCGGCCTCAGAGTGGCAGCTATTTTATCTAGATGAGATGACCGCGCCGAGATAACGCAGTCGTGGTGTGTTATCTAAAGACAGAGGCATAATAAAATGCTCTTGCCTCACTCACTTTCAATCCCCGCGCAATGGTTTTTCTTCGCTGTCTTCGTGTGTTGAAGAATAAATAAAAATGCTCGTAAAATGAGGTGTATTTCATGTGTGTGACTCTCGAGAATCACAGAGATTCACATATTCTCACTTTTTTCTTCGCATCCCGAAAAATGTCATTATATTCCACTCCTCATTTGAATGGAAATTTATGCATTTTTGCTCAAGTGCGAGAAAATACCACTTTGAGAATTCGTGATTTTGTGTCTGACTCTGAACGCCGAAGAATTTCCCCTTCAAAAACGTTAACTACGAAGGTGTGGGAAATGGTCATAAACAGCCAAAGCTATATAATGAATACATTTCCGTTTCTCATTGAAAATTTCAACGTAAAATCAATAATTTTAATTATTGAATTCCATGGAAGTGAATAAATTAGAAATCGAAGAGGTTCTACAATAAACACTAATCTACAGCAACCTCAACTCGACTCCCCATATCGTGGCATCTCTCAAATAAACCCGTCTACGGAGCAAATAAACTTGCAGCTGTTGCCACAAGACTTTCTTGCCCAACAATCAACAATGCAGCATTTCCTTCCCAATCACAGACGCGCGCCCATTAATATTGCATACCATTTGCCACTCCTGAAGTGGGCGATTTCGGCATATCGCCTGGCCAGGGGGCCTTCGTTGGGACTCAGCATCTCCACCGACTGATTCCCATCGGAGTCCGACTTGTTGATGGTGTTCAGCTTCTCGCACAGCAACTCAGCCTCGCTAGAGACGATGGAGTCCCTAAACTCCGCGCCGCTGCTGCTATTCCCATTCTCCAGGTCGTTGTAGTCATCCTCGTCGTCTGGATTGGAGCTCTGCAGGGAGTTCCTATTGCTGTCCGCCTTCTGGGGCTCCTTAGTCGCCTCCTGACGACTCATGGCCACGTCGCAGCCGAGCGACAAACGCTTCTTGTGCACCTCCTCCATTATTAACGAGGCGCTGCTCTCAATTCTCAACGACGTCCTCTTGCGCGCCACCTCATCCTTGGCATCGATGTTGTTCCGCAGAGTGTTCGACGCCTTGAACAGCGGCGCCACTCCCTCGGGAAGCCTGGGAATTTGATCAGGTGTTGAAATCTGAGGCCCGTCGAGAATCTCGTGATCTGTCGGCGAGGCGGGTGGAAACATCTCACTCTCTCTCACTTACTCCAGCATCAACTCTCCTCACACCGTCGGGCGAAAGTTCACTGAGTTATGACGGTGGTGTATAGTGTTCTATGGTCGTAAAAATTCACATTATTCCTCCCACCTTTAGACACACACGCACACTGACCATGGGATCTTCTTACAAAGCTCGTCTTTTCACTTTTCGCCCCTCGAGCCATGTGTTCTTCGGGAAATTAATACTAAATCTCTTCTATCCCGAGTCACCTAACCGGAAATTAGGCGCTCTCCGCAACATTTAACGGTCAACAGCTGATTAAGAAATCTGCATAAAATAAAGCATTCACAGCGCGCGCTCTCAAGTCTATTCAAACAATCTCTCGTGAATGGAATCTTCTGCAGAATCATTACTTTTATGCAAAAGACAAACACACGGGGCTTTCAAGATAAGAATAAATATCCTCAGACTTTGTGCAAACAGAGCATCAATCTGCCTGTGATAAGATCCTCTCAATCCTCCTTGAATCCCGAAGGATTCACCACCAGACTGTGTTTATTCATATTTTCTCCTCCTTCTTTCCACCAAAGTCTCCAGAACAGGAAAACAAGAGTGACAAGAGATAAATCGCCTTGGAATAATTGTGTGGAGTGCAAATAGGAGTGTATGTGAGTGTGTTGTGCCACTTTGTGGCGAGTATCGCGCGCTCATTGAGGAAAAAAGTCAGAACCGCTGCAATAGCTGTTTGCTCGCCGTGCTGTTCTCTTTGTACTCGCGGCCCAGAGGAATTTTTCTCAGTGGCGCCCACGAGATAAAATCGTCAGAGAGAGCGTCGAAAAATCGAAGAATGAAATCCACTCACTGGCATATGAATGGGTGTTAGATGGAAGAGTTATGACGGACGCGGAGGGAGTCTCATTAGCCGCACATTCTGTGCTGTTTGGGGTCACTTTACAAATGGTCGGCTGTCGATGGAAGCCAAGATGTGTGTTGAGGAGTCAAAATTAGAACGAGGCGGCCGGAGAGAGACTCGAAATAGAGCACTTTTGGCAGCTCTGAGTGGTCTTGACACAAAGCGCGGAAAGAGGCGAGCCCTATTAATTGGCGGAGAGTCACTTTGGGAGCCTGTATGTTGCTTAGAAATGAGCGTGCTGACAGCCGAGGGTCAGGAGAGCCCTTGTTAAGACCGCACATATATTGGTAATAGGAATTTATTGTCGATGGAACAACAGAAATTAGCTATGCTAATAAACTAACGAGTTTCGCAATTAAAGTTGTTAAAAAATACAATTTTCTTCTGCGTTCTTCCCGTAATTCTTAAGCGTATTTCCATCTAGTCTTTCCGTCTCTTTCTGTGTGTTTGTGTGCCGAGGAAGTGGGAGCAAAACGTGAAATGAAATGCACTTTAAAATTAGATTTGGGTATTCAATGAAATTGTCTATTTCTGTCGCCACACACTTTCACAATATGCGATGAAAACCCGTGATTTTCCCACCTTTCCGCAATTTGGAATGGAAAGGAAAATCCATAACACTACATATATATAGGAGGAGGGGTTCTTTGACCACACCGTCAGGTGTATAAATTATTAATTCACATTTCACACACCGGTCAATATTTCAAACACTCTTATGTGGTTGTTTTTCTGTCTCTCACACAGAACTTCCGTGTTCGCCAACGCACAACGTGAGACTCGCCGTCCACATAAATCTGTTGATCAACAACAGTTGTGAATTCGCTCGGCGGCCGCCCAGGAATGCGTATCGCCCCTCGAATTGAGGGAAAATCTCATTAAACATTTACACCCAAAAAATTGGACACAATGCGCGCCGCGACCAGGAAAAGCAGCGCTACGACACAAGTTGAACAACCGCGCGACAGATTAGACAAACTCGCGAGCGCAAGAATCGCATCCAACGCCAGCAATGTCTCACACACAACTGACGACGGCACAGCGCCTGATTCCCCTCGCGAACCGCCGCCTGTGCCGCATGCGTGCGACTGTTCCCCACGAGCCGCCGGCGGCGCAGTCCTCCACTTCCCCCACCAGCGCCCATCTCCTCATGTTTACAATTAAAATCGCACATAAGTTCTCGCGGGTGTGCAAAAAACATGCGGCGCATTTGGCGAACATACAAATACAGCGCGGCCCATTCTTTGGCCCTCTTCCATCGCAAAAGCACTTGCAACTGCCGACAAGGGGTTAATAAGGAAGTCACATGTGGTGCCAAGGCAGCACAGCTGACCGAACATCCCTGTTTTTGCATTTAATTGTCGACTCAGTGTCAATTTTATCCGCCTAATATGATTATGCGCTATTGCAAGGGAGAGATATTGGATTTAGCCAAATTTAATAGCGAATCGGCAGAATGCGAGGGTGAAGATAATGGCTTTTTATGTGATATTTCGTTATAATCGCTACAAAACAATAATATACAATAAATAGAGACACATTCACAGAAAGAATATGCGACAAAGAGTGGTTGATAAACCGCAGAAGCTTATCTAAATAGTGATTTCACTGTGCTGAATCAGAAAATACTTAAACAATAACACCAGATAGAAGACAAATATATCATTCATAACACTCTTATCAAATTTATGCTCTGAAAATTTTTTTTTGAATACATATATGAAATATAAATATATTGCTAATCACTCTGCATCGATATTTCAAATATCAAGAAGTAAAGAGCCAAATTTCCCCGTTGTGCCATTTTAAAAATATCACAAGATTGAAAACAAACAAGTTTACAAGCATATCGAAAGAATTCCGCGCATTCTTTTGACACGATTCCAGCCGCAAACGGACATTCTGACTCATTACCATTTGCGGTTTTCTTGTCTGTCCAGCGGAATTCTTAGAAAAGCAATAGGGAACACTTGACTGTGAAACACAAACAGTTTCTCTTTGAAGCGTGTCTCGGCCAATTTGCGATTCTGGCGAAATGCAAGAAGCTGAGCCGCGCGCCGGAGCGCCGAGATGGCGAGTTGGCTGCGGCGAAAAACGCGATCAGACACTCGCCGTGCAGCTCAGCGGCGTAATCCCTGGCACAAAAACGCCGTGGCGTCGAACAAAGAGAGCCACACAGTCGCTGGAGCAGGAGATCTCTGGGGCAGGAGATTATATAGCGGCTGGCCATCATTTCTGCCATGCACCACGCGATAGTGGCGCGCATTTGTGCTCAGCCATGGGAGAGAAAGAACGGTCTGCGCGGCATTATCATTGCAGATTCTGCATCCGGTGCGATCCACCAAAGAGGTCGAGGGTGAGGAAGTACACAGAAGAGAGAGAAAGAGAGAGAGAGAGAGAAAGAGAGAGAGAGAAAGAGAGAGGGAGAAAGAGAGAGAAAGAGAGGCAGAGAGAAAAATGGGTCGCCGAATCAATCACACCGTGTGCATTTTGCATAATTCATGCGTGCTGTCTTGTTCACCAGTGCAATTACTCGACATCTGCAATTGTATGCGCCTCACTCCTTTTCAATATCCTCCCTGGGACAATAAGCCATCAATTCTCCCTCCCGAAAGCATCCTTGCACCCTCAAAGGCTTCTCACTAGCGCTCCCGCCGACTTTCATTCAGTCGCTCTTCTTCACTGCGTTTCGCTCCAGTTGCCATTCAAATAATAGTGTGTGAAAGCGAGAAAAGGTGGAATGATCTCGGTGTGGCAGAGCTGGTGGCGAGATTCAGGAAAACCCTGGGAATCTCTCCTGCCGTTTGGGTCTTCTCTTGGGGGGAAGGAAATTGCACCTCACGAGCGAGTATTCGCTCGAATGGGATGTAATCTCTTTAACCAAAGGTGACTGGCGCGAATGGATCGCGGCCGAGTTCCTTTGTGGGGTTGAGGGTGAACAATTAAACACTTGATTGCACTTTAACACTTAATCTAATTTACTCTACTCAAATTAATACTTAACACAACTTATTACAAATAAAAAGCGGCTCCTGCCTTGAATTTTATGTGGCTCTTGCCATTTGCTACAAAAGACACTTCTTAGTGTCGGTCTCTTGACCACCAAAAAAATGCAATTAGTTCAACTACTGCATCACCCAATCTTGTGGGTTTCACTGCAAGGCCCAAGGGCTCTTTCTGTGAACAATTGCGAACGACGACTGAAATTAATTGTCGCCCGCGTCTCAATATATTGCAAATTTGTTTACGCTTCTCCTGAGGGAAGAAGTGTAAACGGCGGGAGTGGGAGAACTCTCCGCCCTTATTACTAGATCAGCAAAACTGATCACAGCGTGGGTCGTCCCCGCTGTTCAAGTTAGCCTAAAATTAATTATAATGGGAATTATAAGATGGGAATTATTGATACAAAATTAACACAAATAAACCCTGTTCATTTCTCATGAACATCCTGCCCGGGGACCGCGCTAGCAGATGGCTGCGATGCTCTTGCCTCTAGTAGCCTGTTGAATCTTTCAGCTAAGTCCTCATCGTTCTTCTGGTCCCTGATCTGCTTCACGCGTTGTCGTCTCCAAGTGACACCTGCCAGGAAAGCTCCTATCAGGATGACCGTTCCTAGGATCGTTGCCGTAGGGGTTGGGTGGATCTTCCAAGATCGCTTCTGTCCGGAGCTCCTGCTCCTGGGTTCCACGTAATCTCCAGTGGTCGGTTGGAGTGTACCTTCAACCTCCAGCAGGGTGACGTTGCAGGGCTTCCTCGGTAACCTGCTTGATATTTCATCAATCACGCATGTCGGTTGCTCCTTCAGACTGTGTACCGCATGTGGCATACATAAATATGCTTGCTGCGACGTCTGAGTGCATCCCTCATGGTGAAGGGTGAAGTATCTCCGGCTGTTGTAGTCGACAGCCGACGTCTCCGTTCCTGGGTCAGGTACAAAAGATGTTCCCTTCTCCAGCCGTGCTGGAATGGGATTTACGTGCAGAAACTGGCAGCTGCTCTTCTCCCGTATCCGGAGACTGCCGTGCACGTGGATGTTCTCATTCTCCAGAATGAGCTCGACGATTGTCGTCGGAACCGTGAGTATCTGATAACCCGTACCAACCTTTGCTAACGTTCTTCTTGTGATCCTCGCCAAAGTCTTGCGTGAGGAAAAGTCTAAAAGACTCACTCTTCCCTTTTCTGCTCTCGAGAGTCGCTCCCAAACTTCGTCGAGTTCTTCAGAGTGATCGCTAGCGGCGGCGTACATAAGCCGTACCTCCAATCTTACGCGGTTGTGGTCTGATGCTGCGTTCCAGCGCTGTAGGTCCGCTATCAGTTGAACCATTTCATTAATCTTTTCAGTGTACTGCGATGGCTTGCTGTTCACTTGATCAACGCTTTGGTCCACCTTGGCGCATAGAAGCATGTTATACTGATTCGCCGATGTGTCCTGCTCCAACAGGTTGTACCTTAAGTCGGCTACATCATTGTAAGCCTCGTCGTTGACTCCTAAACCTTCGACATAGAGCCCAGTCTGTGGCTCGAATGTACTGTAATTATGAGTCCAGGCTACGCCAAACGTCAGTAGCGTCAGAAGTAGGAACAATAGGACTGATTTCCATGCAACACGGAAACATCTTGAAGTGCGAATTGTCCTGCTGTTGCTCTCAGTTTGGTGTTTCTCAGCCGCCTCCTCGTTGGTCGCCTGATCAACTGGAGGTTTCACAATCTTGATGATGGGGCGCGTTTTCGATCCGTCATCTGCCTTGAGTTCCACTACT